ATGTCTCTCATGACCTCTTTGATTTCTTTCATCAGAACACTGGTTCTTAACTCACATTTTGTTAGACATACCTCTAGAGTTGTCTTTTTGAACAATTACTTTCAATTCTCTTTTAACCTCCATGCCCAGAAGCTTATGGTGTGTGTGTGTGTGAAAGAGAGTAAGTGAAGGGGCAGGGAGAGAGAGAGGGAGAGGGACTGGGAGGGAGAGAGTCATCCCTCAGGGTTTTCCCCATGAACCAGGTGGTTTTCCCCAGTAGAGAGAATCCTCCACTTTTCTGGGGAATCTGGCAGGGAAGGAGCAGGAAAATGTTGCTGAGTGGCTCTGCCCACGGGGAGATGGAAGTGTGCCTATAGTTCTCTCCTTTATTCCCCTGCCGTGGACCAGGGCTTAAACAGAAGTGGCTGCATCCCTCAGGAAGACTGTAACTCGGCTTCCCACTGTACACCAGGATGTCTGAGACACTGATGGGTCAGATTATCTCTTCAGCTACGAAACGTGGATAGAATAGTATTGTCCAGTGATTGAGAAAGTGGACTTGTTGGGTACCTATGCCACTCTACACCCCGTGAGTGAGATGGAACCCAGGGAAGCCATTGGTTAGACTGGAATTAGTGCTGGGAATTTGGAGCAACATAGTTCCTGGATCTAATCTAACCTCATGGGGGAACACTCAACGAAAATATATCATAAGGCAAAGAGATAGTACAACATCTTGCATGTGGTCGACTCAAGTTCAATACTGGGTATCCCATATCATTTCCCCACTGAATACTTCTGGGAGTGATCCCTGAGCGCATAGCCAGGAGTAAACCCTGAACACAGCTGCATGTGGCCCCCAAACCAAAATAAATAAATAAATCACAAATGGGAAAAAAAGGATATCTGAGTACCAAGGAACACATCCATGAGAAAAAGAAGCTTGAGAGAAGCTCGAAGCAAGTGATGTCATCGATGTCAGGTATCCAACAAGTACGCGTTCTCAATCATTGGACAATACCATTCTATCCACGTTGGACATCACCTACAGACCTCCTTTGGGCACTGCAGTTCTCCCCAGTGGTGCTCGAGAGTTCATGAGGGCCATGTGGTTCCAGGGACTAAACTTGGCCTGTCACTTGCATGCTCTCCAGGACCCTGCACTGACTCTCACTCCACTGGGATGGTCTCTCATGAGACTCCAGCTCTGTACTCTGTTTAGGGGGAGCGTTGAGAGTAGCACATTGTCTTGTCTGTAGAACAGCAATACTGGCCTTTCCCGATAGTCAGATCTGTGGAGGAATAAGTTTAAAGCCACCTGTTTCCTCCTCCAAATACAGTAGGGGCAGGTTTGTTTCTGTTCTGTCATAGGAAAACTAAAGCTCAAAGCCAGGGGCAACCGAGGAGTAAAGAAGCCAGTCTTCCTGAAGAGAAGGCCAGCCCTTCGACATCTGGGGTAAATCTAGGTCAGAGCTAGGAGAACCATCTTTAGAAGAAGCTGGGCCATGTGGATTTTAGCTGGCCATGCTAGAAAGATGAACTGCATGCTAGCTTGGTGATTGTAGCCAGTTGTCCTGGAGTGTTCTGGAGATGAGCTCAGCATATCATGCGTACATAATGAACCCCAATAAAAACTGAACACTCCAGGAGCTTTTCTGGTTGGCAATCCAGCCACCTCCTGGGGACGGTGGGGCACGGCCATAGAACCTTGGCATGTATGCTTCTGGGATTTGAGTTTCACTCCTCATTTCCCTGCAAAAGCCATAACAGCGTGTATATTGATTTATCAATCCTAAGGCAGATGAGGGCACCCCTCAGATTTGCAAATAGTGCAAGAAATCTTGGGAACTGTGCACTCACACCTTGCCGTTTGGCAATGCGTTAAAAATGAGAATGAGGGGCTGGAGCGATAGCACAGCAGGTAGGGCGTTTGCCTTGCATGCAGCCAACATGGCCAACCCGGGTTCGATTCCCAGCATCCCATATGGTCCCCCGAGCACCGCCAGGAGTAATTCCCGAGTGCATGAGCCAGGAGTAACCCCCGAGCATCACCGGGTGTGACCCCAAAAAGCAAAAAAAAAAAAAAAAAAGACAAAAATGAGGATGACCCTGGGGAACATAAAGCAACAAAATGGGAGACTAACACCCAGGAGTGGCCGAGATTAGTACCAGGAATTTTGCTCTAGGACTTGGAGGGCAGCCACACGGGGAAAAGGAAGCTCAGATAGAGAAGGGAGCACCAAATAAAGGGTGTTGGGAGGATCCTCCCAGGATGGGAGAAGCATGCTGAAAGTAGACTATAGACCAAACATGATTGCCACTCAATGCCTCTCTTGCAAACCACAGGACCCAAAAGGAGAGAGAACAAAAGGGAATGCCCTGCCACAGAGGCAGGGTGAGATGGGGGGAATGGGGGGTGGGAGGGATGCTGGGACCCGTGGTGGTGGGGGATGGGTACTGGTGGAGGGATGGGTACTTGATCATTCTATACCTGAAACCCAAGCACAAAAATTTGTAAGTCTACAACTATACCTCATGGTGTTTCAGTAATTAAAAAAATAAAAAAATTTAAAAAAATGAGGATGACCTCCTGATGCTCCGGGCATCTGGAGGCTGATTCTGCTCCTAACCAGAACCACTGATCTACCTGCCTAGCTCTGAGGAAGAAATCTTTCCACTGGCCCTGTGTGTCATCTGCGCCACAGGAGGGAGTGACTGTGACCTCACCCGCCCCAGAGACCCCCAGCGGACCCCCACTTCCCCTCCCCTCAGTCTTTTGGCCCCACACTCCCACGGCAGTGGACACAATATGACATGTGGGAGCCGACCATCTTCTTCTTTGGCTCCCAGGATGTGGAACTGCTGTTTCCACGTGTGGTGATGGACAGCCCTTAACGCCATGGTCCTCATGGTTCTGGTGGTTTTCCTCCTGGCATTCTGCTATGAAAGACTCAAGGTGGCTTGCGTGGAACTTGCATAGGAGGCCTTCAAAGGTTCCCAAGCACAGGTGCTGAGCTGATCTCTCTTCATACATGCCACACTGTGGGTCATCCAAGTGTCCCTGAGCCATGCACTCACGCTCCCCTTCAAGATCTACAATGCCTGCTTCATCCTGGCTGTACTGGCAGGGGCTGGCACTGCATCGGAGACCCCCGCCCGGAAGGAGACCATGCATCAAAACGGATCCCGGACTTGGTAGACCCTTGCCATTAGCCTGGGCGGGCTCCCTGGCGTGGCAAGCATCTAGGTTCCAGGGCTCAAGGTGGGCCCATCTCCTCCACTGGCTCCCGGCTGTATACCTCTCTTCCTCAGCCCCCCTTAGTCCCCACCCAACCTGTATAACTTTTTGCTGTCACCTCTTGGGAATCGCCTTCCTAGGAAACACAGAACCCAAGTGTTGTAATAAAAAAAAGTTTGAGTCTTTGGCTCAGTCAGCAAAAAAACAAAAGCAAAACAAAAATAAAATTAAAAAAAAAAAAAAGAGGTTGACCTTAGGTCAGTTCCTTTGCCCCTAGGCTTCGAGAGTAGATCTGATGACAACAAAAACCCCGCCTACCTAACAAGCAAACAAACAGATATGCCATGTGTGGTGTGTGTGTGTGTGTGTGTGTGTGGAAATCAAAATCAGTGAAATGCCAGTCCGGGCCGCTTGGGAGGCCGTCAGCGTTAGGCCCGGTGCAAGTGGTGGCCAGGCCGCCTGCCAGGACTGTGCAATCCTCAGAGCTGGAGGGAATGTCAAGTGGTGCAGCCTGCTCGTCCTGGTGACACGAGTGCCCACAGTCCTGCCCTTTAGGCCCAAGAGAAATAAAAAAACATACGTTCCCCCCCCCCCAAAAAAAAAAGATGCACTCAGGAATGTTCAAAGCAGCATCACCTGTGATACACTCAAGAGTGGATGCCACCAGAAGGTCCATCAAGTGGGTAAACGGGAAGTGCTTTATCCCGACAACGGAAGAGAACTGGGGCAGAAAAAGAACGCAGTGTTCATACATTGTATTCGGATGGGCCCGGGAGCCCTGAGGGCCGTCAGATAGATGCAAAGCCACATCTTGTGCCAGTGTCTTGAGGTGGCATCCGCGGAATGGGAAATCTACAGATGCAGAGAGATCTGGGGTGGGGTGGGGGAGAGAGAATTAAGGGGAACGTTATTTTTGAGGGTTTTGCATATGGCAAGGCTCTGAACAAATCGCAGAGACAGGCTCTGGTGAATACTCCAAAGGGCACGGCTCGGAACCGCGGAGCTGAGCACTGGGTCTGGACCAATCTGCCTTACACACACCCTGCCTGGGCCGGGGAGCGCAAAGGAGAGCGCGCCAGGCTGGAAGGATGCACGGGAGCCGCCCGCCGAGGCTTTCCGGGTCGCGGGGCACGGGCAGGTGGGCCGGTTCCGTTTCCCAAGCAGCCCAGAACCGGGGCCGAACCGCGCCTCCTGGCCGGGATCGCCAGCTCCCGAGGCTTGGCCGGCTTGGGAGACCAGGCGCCTCCGTGCGCTCCCCGGGGCAGCCGGGGGTGGGGTGGGGGCGTGCGAGCGGATCCGGGGTGCGGGGCGGCGGGGGACCCCGGGAGGCGGGGTGGGGGGGGGGGATGCCCTGCCAGGCGGCGCTCCGCGGTCCTAAGCAGCACCCTCGGCACCCACCGGGCGCCGGCCCCGCCTTTCCGGGGGCGCGCGGGACTCCCCCCCCCCCCCCCCCCCCCCGGTGTCCGCAGGAGAAGCGGGCGGGGGCGGGAGATCGGGGCGGTGGGGAGTGAAAGGGGCGTCGCTCTCCGGGTGTCCCCCAACCCCCACGCCCGCCTGGGCCGCCGCGCACCCACCCACCCACCCATCCCCGCCTCCGGGAAGCGCCGCCCCCCGCGTCGCGCCCTCCCGGCTCCTCCTCTTCCCCTCGGCCGCCGCCCCGCCCCGCGCCAACGACCCAAACAGCCGCGGCTCCTGCGGCCGCGCGTGATCGCCGGCGCCCGCCGAGCCCCCGCGCGTCCCCCGCGTCCCCCCACGCGCCCCCCGCGCCCGGCCCCGCGCGCCCCCGCGCCCGCCCGCGCCCCCGGCCGAGCGATGCTGCTGCTGGCGGCCGCCTTCCTCGTGGCGTTCGTGCTGCTGCTCTACATGGTGTCTCCGCTCATCAGCCCCAAGCCGCTGGCGCTGCCCGGGGCGCATGTGGTGGTGAGTGACCCCCACCCCCGTCGCCGGGCCGCCCCCCCAGCCCAGCCCAGCCCAGCCCAGCGCAGCCCAGCGCAGCCCAGCGCAGCCCAGCGCAGCGCAGCCCGCCCGGCCCACGGCACCTGTCGCGCCCCCTCCCGGGACACGCGGGCGGCGGGGGCGCAGCGCTCGGGGTGCGGGCGTAGGAGTGGGGGGACCCGGCGGCGCCCCCGGACCACCCGAGACGCTCGGAAACTTTTGCCAAGGACACCGCGGTCGGGCGCGGGGAGTGGGGGGCCCCCCGCGCGCGGTGGTGGTTGGCGGGAGGGGGGACGGGGACGGAGGCGCCCGGCGGTGACTCACCTGGAGGGCGGCGCGGGGACGGGGCCCAGGTGCCGGTCCGCGCCGTCGGCGCCCGGCCGTGTGCGAGTCCCCCCGCTCCACCCCGGCAGCCCGCGGCCTCGTGCGGGGGCTGCGCTCCCACCCGGCTGTGCGTGGGGAACGCAGGGCCCGGCTGAGCCGCCCCGGAAGCCCCCGGCCCCAGACGCCCCTTTCCCCCTTTTTCCATCCCCACCTCCCTCTCCATCCCCGCGCCCCGCACCCGACCCCCGTGCCCCCCGTGGTGGTGCTCTCTCTCTCTCTCTCTCTCTCTCTCTCTCTGAGCCTCGGTGCGCCCAGGGCAGAACGGGCCTGAGGGGATGCTGGGGGTGGAGGAGGAGTGAGTGTCTGTCTCTTATCCCCATGCGCACCCATGTGCCCGGCGCGCTCAGGTGACACCGGCAGGCGCTGGATGGGAGAGGAGGGCCTTGCCTTCACCTGGGCTTGAAGCAAGTCCCCAGAAGCCGACGCGATTTTTTTTTTCCCCCGTGTACGATTAGTTGGATTAGCCGGCACCTCTCGCTTGCACTCCGCCCACCCCATTCCAGGTGCGCAACGTAGAGAGGAGAGTGAAGCCAAACTTTCCCAGCCGGCTAGAAAGTGTCACATCGGCCAAGGAACTCAAGCCACGGAAGCTGGGCTTGAAAAGTTGGAGAGAGAGAGTAGAGCGGGTAGGGCACTGCATGCCGCTGAGCGGCACTGCATCTGGTCCTCTGAGCCCTTGAGTAGCAGAGCCCAGGACACTGCCCGGTGTGCCCCCCAAAACCAGACCAACCAACCTCCATCAAGCATAAAACAGAAGCTGGAGTTTCTGGGAACTTGTTTAAAGGACACAGCTGGGTGAAAGGTAGCCAGCGTCCTGCAGCAGTGTGGACAAATCTGGCCCTGTGTTTGTGAGGATGTTGTATACTTAGTGACCCTCTCCGGCTGCTCAGCTACTGTGTCTCTTGGGACAGACCCAGAAGAAGGAATCCTTCTTTTCACCCCCCCTAGTTTCAATACCCCACTATAAATAATGTGAGGATGGCATGAATAATTCACATGATGTCACCATCTGTCTTCGTTCTTAATGTCCTCAGTGAGTGGCAGTGTAATTCTTTTTCTTGAGATTTGTCAGGACCCCACGGCCGGACTGAGGAGAAGGAGCCAATGTTTAGAATATCCCCGGCCCATGTAGAGGCATGAACACACTTAAGTCATTGCTATTTATTGTTTTATTTTTTTACAACAGTTCCCCGACATACTAGGGTTATCTTCCTAATTACAGTGGCAAAGACTATTGCGTGGCAAGTCTAACAGGGTACATAGGTAAATCAGCTGTTTTTTTTTTCAAACCTGCTTAACGAACTTAGTAAGAACCAGAAAATCAAGTTCTCCCCTCCCCCCACCACTTTCTTTTTCTTTAGGCCTGTAGGGCTGTAAACAGCTCTCCCCTCTTCTTCACACACCCCTGCAAATCAAATCCCTCTCTTGCCCTCCATGAGACTTGTGGAACTGTGGCTAAAAGAGAGAACCATGGAGACTATCTTCACTGCAGAGCGAAGGTGAGGGGAGCGAAGTTCTTAGCTGTTTTCATCAGTGTCCCTAATCTGGATTCAGTGATCCAGTGGTTAGCCCCCGTGCCGTTCATTCAAGAAGAGTGGCCTGGAGTGACTCCCATATTTCGAGGAAGTAGCTCACCTAGAGCTCACTTGACTAGAGGGCATTAGCGGAACGGAACCGCTAGCCCTCAGGTGAAGCCTTGCTCTTACTCTCACAACCGAACACTTTTTGTTGTTGTTGTTGTTGTTGTTTGGTTTCTTTGGCCTTGGGGCCCCAACTGGCGATGTCCAGAGGTTGCTCCTGGCTCTGCACTCAGGAATCACTCCTGAGGGGCTGCCGGGGATGGGACTTGGGCCGACCACATACAAGCCAAAGCGCCCTTCCGGGGGTCCTACCGCTGTGGCTCCTACACAGAGCTTGTCCGGGACCCTTTTGTGGTGTAAGTCATTCATGTAGCTGAATTACAGGCCAAGGAAAAGGGCAGCAAGAGGGATCGCTAATGAGCTACGCAGCGCTTGAGACCATAGCGCATAGAAGCCTCGTCACTTCCATTCACTCGCTGCGTAACAGGGCGTTTTTTTTTTTTATTTTTAAAAAATTTCTATTAGTGGAACACCATGAGGTCCAGTTGTAGACTTACAAATTTTTGTGCTTGGGTTTCAGTTACACAATGGTCAAGTGCCCATTCTCCATCATTTACTTTTTTTTTTAATTTTTGTTAGGGCTGGAGCGATAGCACAGCGGGTAGGGCGTTCGCCTTACAAGCGGCCAACATGGCCGACCCGAGTTCAATTCCTCCGCCCCTCTCGGAGAGCCCGGCAAGCTACCGAGAGTATTCGATATGCCAGACACAGTAACAACAAAGTCTCCAATGGAGACGTTACTGGGCCCGCTCGAGCAAATCGACGATCAACGGGAGGGCCTTTACCTTTACCTTTACCTTTTGTTAGTGAAACACCATGAGGTACAGTTGTAGATTTACAAATTTTTGTGCTTGGGTTTCAGTTGTACAATGATCAAACACCCATCCCTCCACCAGTGCCCATTTCCCACCACCACGGATCTCAGTATCCCTCCCACCCCCCACCACCCCCATTCCACCCTGCCTCTGTGGCAGGACATTCCCTTTTGTTCTCTCTCTCCTTTTGGGTCCTATGTTTTGCAAGAGAGGCATTGAGTGGCAATCATGTTTGGTCTAATAGTCTACTTTCAGCATGCTTCTCCCTCCTGGGAGGATCCTCCCAACACTCTTCATTTGGTGCTCCCTTCTCTATCTGAGCTCCCTTTTCCCCTAGAATGTGTGGCTGGCCTCCAAGCCATGGAGCAAAACTCCTAACAGGGCGTTTTAAAAGGCTTTGGTAGGGGGCATTTTATTTTTGGTGTAGGGACATCTCTCGGCACCATGGACATCAGTAAACACCTCGGCACCTTTTTCTGTTCCATAGTGGATGGCTATGGGCTTGGATAATCTGGTGGAAATGAGTTAAAGCGACTCCTGCCCTCCTCAGATAGCAAAGATTTCCTCAGTGGGGGTGACCCTAATTATGATAATGACTTTTTGTCAATAATTCGTCAATAATCCACCAAAGAAATATCTTTGCCAGTGGTGGGAAACCAAGGCTGAAGAGAAGTAGGGATGCCTTATCATCCCCCAGACATGGGGACTCATTGTTTAGGGGGACCTCAAGGTGCTTTGCTTCCATTTTGTTTGGGACCGCACCCAACCTATGCTTAGGAGTTACCCCTGGCTCTGTGCCTGAGAGACGGGCATACTCCCAGGGATGCTTGGGGGACTCCGCATCCCCTCCTAGAGGTGCGGGGTCCCCCACAGATTATGTACTAAACACTTGGGGATCTCTTTTCTCAGGATTCGAACATCCTGGTGTGGTGTCTCAGAGTGACACATTCCCAATATTTGCAGATGTTTTGCAGAGTTTCTGTGCAGCTGTTTGGTGTGGTGTTGTCAAGCCCTTGAGTTCTTTGACATAGATTTCTTAGGATCTTTTTGTAGTTGGCAGTACTGGGGGGGGGGGTGTTTCCCTGGCTCTGCCCACGCCTTCCCCTGACCCCCACCCCCAGTTGTGTTATATAATTTGTGTAGGGATTGCTAGTCATCAGTAATGTCAGTCATTAGCAACGTCGGGTTGCATTTGTCTGCTTAAGTTAAATCTATACGGAGCCCTTCCTCTTGCCAGGTACTGTGCTAAATGTAGGAATAGAGCTGGGAGCAGAAATAGAATCGCTGTTGGTGCAACAGCCTGCAGTCTAATCGCAGAGAAATGCATGACTGTTGAATAATAAGAGTGCGAGGAGGGGAAAACGCAGGGCAGAAAGGTGGGTTGGCGAGAGAATGGGGACAGCTTTTGAAGGCTTTCCTGAAGAAGGAATGTTTAAACTGAGATCTCATGGTGCCAGCTAGATGGAAAAAGGCAGAGAGCTTTTCTGGCTTAGGGCGCTGGAATGTGCAAAGGCCCTGGGGTTGGAGGTAGCATGAAAGAGACAAGAGTGACTGTGCTATATTGGGGCAGACCGCCGAGTCAGGGAGAAAAGCTTTGCCCTTAGGTAATTCTATGTGATCATCTATTTTAATTTTAACTTTTTAAAATTAATTTATTTTGGTTTGGGGGTCACACCAGGCTGTGCACAGGGTTTACTTCTGCCAGTGCTTGGTGTGTGTGGGGGGGGGGCGGCATATGGGATACTAGGAATCAAACCGGGGTTGGCTGTGTGCAAGGCGAACACCCGACCCACTGTACCATCACTCAACCCCTATATATTACTTTTATAAACAATAACACTGTCCTCCCGTTGTTCATCAACTTGCTTGAGCGGGCCCAGTAACGTCTCCATTTTGAGACTTGTTGTTACTGTGTTTGGCATACAGAATACATCACGGGGAACTTGCCAGGCTTTGCCGTGCGGGCGAGATACTCTCGGTAGCTTGCTGGGCTCTCCGAGAAGGACGGGGGAATCGAACCGGGCTCGGCCGGGCTAGCTGCACGCAAGGCAAACGCCCTATCGCTGTGCTATCGCTCCAGCCATTACTTTTATAGTAGGAATTTATTTCCGTGTCCTCCGAGAGATGCAGGGGGCTCCTCTCTTGGACAGCTGCACATCCACGACAGACAGGCAGCAGGGGAAAATGTTCATTTGAATTTGTGCTCAGCTGAAGACCAATTCATCATTTAGTCCCTGGATTGATGAGGCACTTTCCCTCCAGTAAAGGCAGGGAAACATTGGCGGGCAGTTTACAGGGCTGGGCCCAAACCAATTTGAGCAGCAAGCTCTGCGGGCGGTATAAGCGCTTCGTTTTGCCTGGACCCGTCTACACGGACCCCCAGTCTGCACGGACCCCACAGCGTAAGCTCTTCTGTCTGCATGGACCCGCAGAGTGTAAGAGCAGTCTGCACGGGCCCTAGAGTGTAAGCTCTCCTGTATGCAGGGATGGACCCTGCAGGGTAAGCTCCAGTCTCCATGCAGACCCTGCCGTGTAATCTCTCCTGTTTGCAGGGACCCTCAGCGTAAGCTCTCCCATCTGCACGAACCCCTCGATGTAATCATGCCTGTTTGCACAGACCCGCCCTGTAAGCTCCCGTCTGCATGACCTCGACTTCATTCCTTAAGTCAGGTCGGGTTGAAGGAGCCACAGATCTACCTGAAAAGTGTAGTCTTTGTGGATGCGCCTTTTTTGTATTTGTTTTGGGGCCACGCCCAGCAAAGCTCAGGGGTTATTTCTGGCTCTACACTCAGGAACCACTCCCGGCGGTGCTCAGGGGACCAGAAGGGATGTTGATGATCGAACCCAGGCGCGCCCCGCCCTCTGTTCAATCTTTCCCACACCACAGGGTCACTTTTTAATTGCCCGTCCCAATTTTGTTCTTTTTCTCTTTTGTACTTTGTCTTTTGTACTTCAGTTTTGGCCTTTTGTACTTAAAATGCTTTGAGTTTTGTTTCTTGGGTCACACCTGCAGTCTTAGCGGCCTCTCCCAGCTCTGTGCTTGGGGGTCACTTCCACCAGTGTCCAGGGAACCGTGGCAGGTTGGGGGTTGAACTGGGGTGGCCACACGCGAGGCATACGCATCTTCGCCCCAGCCTCCCTCTGTGATGGGAAAATGTGCACTCGTGCGGAGGTCTCAACCCTTCCCTTCCTCGGTTTGTGATGAGCACGGTTCGTGCTCGCGTGCTGGTGGGGTGCATAACCTCGGTGGCCGTATCACGCACACACGGTTAGGGTGTCCCAGAGCTCACATGCTTGGTTGTGAGGGGTCCCAGAGTGCTCCTGCTCCCACTTGCAAGGCAGATGCTGTCCTGCCGTGGGGAGCCTCCCTGGATTCCCATTGTCATAATTTATCAATACTTTCCCTTTTATTTTTAATTCCTTTTTTTTTTTTTTTTTTGCTTTTTGGATCACACCCAGCAATGCTCAGGGATTACTCCTGGCTCTGCACTCAGGAATTGCTCCTGGCGGTGCTTGGGTGACCATGGGATGCTGGGAATCGAACCCGGGTCGGACGCATGCAAGGCAAACGCCCTACCCGCTGTGCTATTGCTCCAGTCCCAATACTTTCCCTCTTAAAGAAACTTATTTTTTGTTTGGTGGTGTGTAGTGGGTGCGGTGGCAGGCAGCAGCTGTGCTCAGTGTGGATTGTGGCTTACATCAGGGGTCATGCCAGCTTCATCTCCTTGCTTTGGAGACCCTAGGCCATGAGGTGTGCAGTGACCCCCTGTACTTTTTGTTGTGGTGTTTATTTTTGTTTGGGGGGGCCACACCTGGCCATGATCAGGGATCACTCCTGGTGGGACTTGAGGGTGGAGGTGCCAGGGATCAAACATGGGTTGGTCCGTGTGCAAGGCAGGCACCCTGAACGCGGCACCATCACCCCGGCCCTTCGGCCCAGATCTTAATTATTTTAAAGGAGTTTTGTCCCAGAGGGGGCTGTCAGGGGCTGAAAATGATGTTCTCGTGTCTAGGTCACGGGTGGCTCGAGTGGGATTGGAAAGTGCATCGCGATCGAGTGCTACAAGCAAGGCGCCTTCATCACGCTGGTGGCGCGGAATGAGGTGAGTCTTCCCGGAGCGCGGTGCCCTCTCGGCGGGCAGAGCCTCCGCAAAACGCGTGCGCCCAAGTGCTTCCACATCTTTGCTGGAAATCTCTCACATCTCTGCCTGGAGGTGTAGTTCCTGAACTGTCAGTTACTGCTCGTAATCAGGGCAGAAACTTCTCAGTCCAAGTCAGGTGAGCACTGCAAATAGATGTTTAGTGCCAGCAACTACTTGGTGACGTTGTAGACGCTGCTAATAAAAAAAAAATTTTTTTTTTAAGTGTTTGGGCCACACCCAAAGACTCTAGACCTTTGCTCTGTGCTCAAGAGTGATGATGTTGCTCGGAGCCCCAGATGTGGTGCCCAGAATTGGTTCGGGGTGGCCTCATGCCAAGCACGTGTCTTAACCCCTGGGCTAGCTCGCCAGCCCCTGTTGTTTTTGTTTTGGGCCACACCCAGCGATGCTCAGGGGTCACTCCTGGCTTTGTGCTCGCTCAGGAATCACTCCTGGTGGTGCTTAGTAGACCATACGGGGTGTCAGGAATCGAACCTGGGTTGGCCACATGCAAGGCAAGTGCCTACCTGCTTTATTATCTGTCAAACCCTGCAAACCCTTTATTTTATTGTTTTTCTTTCTGGGTCACTCGGGGGGTGGGGGTGGGGCACCATTTTTGCCCTCCCTCCCCGCGAAGCGTGTCCTGCAGCCCTGATTATTATCTGCAGCCCTGTCTCCCAGACCCTGAACTCAGTTTTCAGAAAAGGGTCACAACATCGAAAAAGAAACCTTATACCCTCTGCTCCCGTTCTGTGCTGTCTCCCTTTCGCCCCCCACACCCCCTGCAGTCCCCTCAGTGCCATTGTCAGCATGCATTGGTGTGGCATGCTGTGGGCCACGAGGCAGAGGAGGCCAGTAGGGGCACTGGGGATTACCCCGCCTCCCACACATACAGCCCAGACCTCTGACATGCTTGAAATCTGCCGTGGAATCTCCTTGCCTCTGGCCACCAGGCCACATCATGCCTTTCTGCAGTTAACAAGACTCAAGTTTTTCTTGTTTTCCTCTTGCCATCGTTGCCTTCAGGACCCAGACCCAGGGGACTGCCATGGCTCCCCCTGCTCTGTGGCCAAGGGCCCTGGATGGCTGCACCCCCGGCACAGTGCTGGGGAGACTTTGGGGGTGAGGGCACTGAGGGACGGGGAGGAAGAGGTGGGCAGGCCCATGTGGTGTCGGTGCCCGTATGCAAAGGCAGGCTGGAGTGTGCCGACCCGGGGCCGGGGGCCAAGGCCCAGCAGGCCCCGGCAGACGGGCAGATGCAACCGAGGCCCAGAGGTCAGCCTGGATGCCCAACATTTCTTTCCCACTCGGAGGCGGAGGCAACATTCAACCCCGAATCCTCCCACTGTGCCATTGAAATGTGTTGACGCCACCTACTGCGAGTGAACACACAACTGGGAGGAAACGGCGGTGTCTTGTGGGACTTCATTCCTGGCATGGATGAGGGGAGGGTGCTCGCGGCTCCCTTGGGACTCCCAGAGCTGCCCAGGAAGGAGCCGACAAGCCTTCCAACCTCGGGAGCGTCTTTCCCCTCTCTGATGGAATTCCGAGTCTGATTGTGGCCAAACCAACTTGTGTCTGTCTTTATGGCTGGGACTCTGTATTTTATTTTGTTAATATTTTTCTTTATTTTGAATGTCTAGTATAAGAAAAATACCATTTATAAATTATCACTCTTGGCATTACAAATGTACCTGGTATTCCAGGTACTTCTTTTTTTTTTTTTTTAATTTTTATTAGTGAAATACCATGAGGTACAGTTGTAGACTTACAAATTTTTGTGCTTGGGTTTCAGTTATACAATGTAGGAGTACCCATCCCTCCACCAGTGCCTGTTCTCCACCACCACGGATCCCAGTATCCCTCCCACCCCCATCCACCCCCCAAAGGGACTCTTTTTTTTTGTCACCACGTACCCGTGTTTCAAAATTGGACTCATCTTCCAGGAGATCAGTGGCCTGTGTCTTCTCTAGCCACGGGTTGTATTTGAACCACAGCTTTTAGAAGGAACAAAGACGAGTCAGCCCATCTCTGGCATCTTGAGAATGAAATTGGAGATCTTGGAGGAAATAGTTTGTTATGGAGAGGGTTTGCTTTTCTGAAGGCTCTTAGTATAAGTAACAAGGTATAGTTTGAAGCAAAAGCTCAGATTTTCTGCATAGGAATTTTCACTCTATGGGCTTTCGTAGCCGGGGGGTGGGGGGTGAGGTGGGAGTGGGGGTGGGAGTAGGTGGAAGCTTATGGAAGCTTCTGGAAGCTTCTGGACCTCACATGCTCCACAAGATTTGGATCTCTCCTCCTCCATGTGATGGTCCTTGTCCATGTCCCAACTGAATAATGTCAGGGCAAGACGGTTCTCACAGGATGAGCTGGCCAGCTCACTCTTTTTCACTGGGATTTGGGGGTCATTTTCTTTTTCTCTTAGCCTTTCTCTGGGATGCGTTTTTCCCCCCCTTTCCTATTCTCTTTATTAATATATGACTGATAGGAGATTTTCGTGGTGAACACAGCTTCCCTGTAGCACCATATACAAAACCTAACCCCAGATTCGATCGTGTTCACTTCACAACTCTGTGAACTAAAAACAAACCAAGGCAAAACCTAACATTGGAATCAGGCACTTCAGGAACTTGTTTGGCCACTTGGCATTTTCTAGATCCTCTGCCCTGTTGGCTCCGTTCCACGGTATTACCGCCAACGTTTCACAGAGCCTGGTTGTATGAACCAGTCGTATCAATTAAGCGCAGAATCAAGGAAAGAATAACAGCGGCAGAGGTGTCTTAACACGCCAGACCCTGCCTCTGTTTAGGAGGATGGAAGATTCTGCCCCCGGTGCACTTAAAATCCTGCTCTCGGCCATCTCTTCACCTGCTCGCCAGCTGCCTTTTCTCTCGTAGGCCGTTGCTCACTGCTCGGTAGGTCCATCTCGTGTGTTCTGCAGAGGAATAAATGCGCAAATGATTGCCTGTTCTCACCCTTCTAGAAGACAAGCGACCAAATAAACAATCTCCAGAACTAACTGTTCCTTATTGCTTCTAGGACAAGCTGCTCCAAGCAAAGAAAGAGATTGAAAAGCACTCTATTAATAATAAACAGGTAACATCCCTTGTCTTCTGCATAGGTTGTTTGTACAAATCTGTCTGCAGAGTCGTATTAAGGGGGGAAAGAGCTCACTTAAGCTGTGGTCAGTAAAATAATGAAATAACCATGCTTTACTAGACACTGGTTTTATTTCATTGGTTGCAGAACTTAAGGGGAAGAAGATCTAAAAATGTATGTATATAAATATATATATATATTTTTAAATTTTTTGGTCATACCTGGCAATGCATAGGGGTTACTCCTGGCTCATGCACTCAAGAATTACTCCTGCCGGTGCTCAGGGGACCATATGGGATGTTGGAAATCGAACCTGGGTCGGCCACATGCAAGGCAAATGCCCTACCCACTGTGCTATTGCACCAGTCCCTATATGTATTTTTGGTCTTGGATTTTTTTTGGATGAGTAAAATGGCATGTTGTAATAAAATATAATAACATTAATAATCACACGTTTCTCACTCTGCATCAGAAATAAATTTCAGGGTTCCTGAAATTCTCTCCAAGTTTCTATCAGCCTCATCCACACATTTCATTCTTTTCTTTTCTTTCTTTCTTTTTTTCTTTTTTTTTTTTTATGTAGGAGAACTACTATTTATTCAGCCACTGATTAGGCTGATTGAATTGGGCATGAACTCCACTCATTCTTTTCTTGCTTGGACTACACTTGGAAGTACATTGGGTTATTCTTGACATCGTGCCTTGCGGGGGTCGTGAGGTGCCAGTGATTGAAAGCGGGGGTCTCACATACAGAGCATTGCTGCAGCCCTTTGAATCATGTCTCATCGCCCCCACATTCTGAGAGGTAGCCCCTTCAACCCGGATTCGGTGCTAATACCTTTGCTGTTCATCTGACCATCTTCAGGCTTAGGACCGAGTATGTCTTGTTTACTTTTTGAATTTTGTGGCACATTTTTTTAAAAATAATTGTGAGATAGCATTCACATGTGAGGCTATTCCGTGGTTTAAAGTGTGCAGTTCACTGGTGCCCCGTCTGCCCCCTGTACACAGTGTTCCTGGACTCAGTGTGAACATTATTGTAATCCAGGAACTTCCCTACCTGTCCCTCCGTGCCCTGCCAGCCCTTGACAATCACTGATTTATTATCTGGCCTAGAGATTGGATAACTGTAGTGCATTCTTACCCAACTTGATTGTGTCACTCATTTTGGTGGTGGAATGCCGGGGATTGAACCCAGACCGGCTGCAAATGCCCTCCCTACTGTACTACTGCTCGGGCCCCAATCATGAGTTGTTTTGATTTTTCCTTCTGGATAATGTTTTTACTTCTTTTTTTTTCTTTTGGATCACACCCAGCGATACTCAGGGGTCACTCCTGGCTCTGCATTCAGGAATTACTACTGGCGGTGCTTGGCAGACCATATGGGATGCCGGAGGTCGAACCCGGGTTGGCCATGTGCAAAGCAAACGCCCCACCCACTGTGCTATCTCTCCGCCCCCTGGATAATGTTTTTAAATGCTAGGCTTGGGCATCAGGCATAGGAATGTTCTGGGCTCCTGGGAAGAGAAAAGCGGAAAGGTGAAGAAACCCACAGCCTTAGGATCTGAGTCGTAGGTGGTAAGACTTATCCCATGCAAATGCCTGAGGACACAGCCCTTTTTCAAACATAACCTGGAGGAATGTTAGGCTGCATTAGTGGTGGTTTGGTCCCACACATCACTGGGCAGGAAAGACATGTAGGGAAGGATGCAAGAATTATGCTATTTTCAGATACTCTTTTTGTACAGTATTCAATAATTTACTAGAAGTAATTTTTTTTAGTCCTTTGAGACCCACATATTCCTGACACCCACATAACCCATGAGCATTGCTGTGTATGGCTCCCCCAAAAATTAAAAAAAAAAAAGCGGAAAAAAAAAACTAGCTCATGATTTGTTCTGATTCCTGTTACTTTGTATTTCACAAATTTCTATCAAAATAAGCCCCCAAATGCATGCTTTTTGCCTGGCCTTCCTTCCTTTCCTATTTTCTTCCTTCCTCCCTCCCTCCCTCCCCTTCCCTTCCCTTTCTCCTTCCCTTTCTTCCTTCTCCCTTCCTCCCTCCCTTCCTTTCTTCCTTCCTTCCTTCCTTTCTATCTTTCCTTCCTCCTCCCTCTCCTTCCTCCTTCCCTTTCCTTCCCTTCCCTCCCTCTCTCCCTCCCTTCCTCCCTTCCGCCCTCCTTCCTTCCTTCCTCCTTCCCTCCTTCCTTCCATCTCTTAAGTCCTTCCTTCTCTTCTTCTCAAAGACTACATGAAGTTGTTTTCTATGAAAAACGCAGGCAAGCTCTTCCGCTATCGTTCCTGTGTATCCTAGCACAGGGCAGTGGGTGCTGGGCTCAGCTTGGCTGACCGCGCCTCTAGAGAGCCTGTGAATGGCCACCCCAGTCCAAATTCAGGGAGGCCGAGCAGACCTCCAAGAGAACCAAGTGTGACTTGACTCTCTGCTCAGCTCAGACAGCCAAGATGTACCCTTGGCCTTGAAAGATTGTGTTTCTCACCCAGCCTCCATGTAGGGTGGCTTCTACAAGGTGCTATTGTTAGCTGGTATCTTCGGTCCACTACAAGAAGGCCTTGAGAACATTCAGAGCCCAGTGCTTCAAGAGGGCTATTCTTTTTTTTTTTTTTAATGAATCATCGTGAGATACATTTACAGAATTACAAACTTTAATGATTGTGTTTCAGTCAAACAGTGTTCAAGTACCCATCCCTCCACCAGTGCCCATTCTCTACCACCAATATTCCCAGTATCCCTCCCCCCACCCCCACCCCATACCACCTCCTTCTTCCTCTGTGGCAGGCATAATCCCTGTCCTATTGGGTGTTATGGTTTGCAATACAATGTCCTATTTAGTGTATGGTTTGCAATACAGGTTACAAGCATCCGTCATGTTTGGTCCATAGTCTACTTTCAGCACACATCTACTATCCAGAGCGATCCCTCCGTCATTTATTTAGTGCTCCTCTCTCCATCCCAGCTACCTTTTCCCCCAGTGTATGAGATCAGCTCTCAAGCCGTGGGGCAGTCAAGGGGGGCATTCTTTAAAAACCTGATGACCCAAGTGGTGGTTGTCACTCTTCTTAACATGAATATGAGGTTTTAGTAACCGGGGTTCAGTTTCTGTACAGGAAATCAGATTTATTGCGAGAGTGTAAGCCAGTGGCTTTTTTTTTTCTTTTTGGGTCACACCTGGCGATGCACAGGGGTTACTCCTGGCTCTCCACTCAGGAGTTACTTCTGGCAGTGCTCAGGGAACCATATGGGATGCTGGGAATCGAACCCAGGTCAGCCGCGTGCAAGGCAAATGCCCTATCTGCTGTGCTATCTCTCCAGCCCCAGACCAGTGGCTTTTGAACAGATGCTGCATCTGAGAAACCAGCACCTGAGATCCAGATGCAGAATATTTTCATCAGCCCCCCCCCAAACCTGGACACAGGGGACCCCCATCTATTTTCTCTCACCATTAGCAGCCTTTAAGAAGAATGTTTTAGCTTTCTTTCCCCTTCTGTTTTCAGTTTTATTGAGATTTCATTGATAAAATAGAATTGGGGGTGGGGTGGGGGAAGAGATAAAAGGTGCTTGACTAGCATGTGGCCGAGCCCAGGTGGTGTCCTGACAAAAATGCCAGGTGTGGTCCCTGAACACAGAGCCAGGATTAGCCCTGAGCGGTCACGTATGCCCAAACTGCCCCCACCCCAAACAAAAACAATTTTTATGTTTTAAAGGGACAAAGCCATGATTTCATATCTGTGTGCGTTGTGAAATGTTTATTGATTCACATCACACACAGCTCGAGTTTCTTTTCTGTGGTGAGAACATTTAAGACCCAAGTGTCAAATTTCAAGTGTACACTGTGCTAGTATTAATGATATTAATGACTTGTACATTAGCTTCGCCAAATTTATTCATTTTACATCTGAAGGTGTGCCCCCTTTCACCACCATTTCTTTAAGCATTCTTTGTGTTTACTTAAGAGTTTTCTGCAGGGCCAAAACGGTAGTACAGCTGGTAGGGTGTTTGCCTTGCACGTGGCTGACCCTGGTTCGATCCCCAGCATCCCATATGGTCCCCTAAGCATCACCAGGAGCAATTCCTGAGTGCAAAACCAGGAGTAACTCCTGAGCATTGCCGGGTGTGACCCAAAAAGCTTAAAAAAAAAAAAGTTTTGTACAAAAACTGCCAGGAAAGTGAGACTTGACTGCCGGCTTTGTCAGCAGATTTCACTGTAATCTGTCCATCTGAAATCAGGTGCTTTATCAATTGGGAAGAATGCCTTTAATTAAAGAAAAAAAAATACTTTGAAATAGTTTCTGACAGCTTGACATCTGCATTAGCTTCTGTTCTTTCTCCAACAGGTGGTGCTTTGTATCTCAGTTGATGTATCGCAAGACTATAACCAAGTGGAGAATGTCATAAAGCAAGTAAGTGACAGGGCTAATGGCAGTGCCTTCACCCGCCGTTGGGTCGGTTCTCGCTGTTTTGCTCTGTGGCCTAGAATCGACCAGTGTTCATTATTTGTTCTGTTTTATAGATTGGGTTAACTCGTTAATATGGGACTTTGCCTTCCTCTTTCTTAATGCCCACTTCCTCCATTTGTTTCAGGCACAGGAGAAACTGGGCCCAGTGGACATGCTTGTAAATTGTGCCGGGATCGCCCTGGCAGGAAAATTTGAAGACCTTGAAGTTGGTACTTTTGAAGTAAGTAGGAATTTGGATTCTACTTGTCGAGGAGAAGCAGAATGGAGCTGGCATAAAGGGTCTGTGAATAAACCGTGTCAGATGCATGCGGTGCTCTGGAAGCCAAGAGGAAGACTGGAGGAAGGATTTTTCTAGAGCCTGGCTCGCCTGCCTTAAAGGTGTTCACAAAGGGCTAGAGAGATGGCGCTTAAGGCGGGTGCTGATGTGGCCCCTGGCACTGTCTGTGGTCCCCTGAGCCCTGCTGGGGCTCATTCCTGAGCACAGAACCAGTAGTCAGCCCTAAGCACGTATAGACAAGTCTCTGAGCATACTTCTCCAGTTGTAAAATGGTAGTGAAACCTCCGCGATATGCCAGATTTCACTGAGGGATGCCCTGACAGGAGCATGCTGTTAGCTCAGTGGTTCTAAATTTTGGTGCCAGGTGTCAGTATTAGCATCAGTGAAAAACTGAGATCGTGGAGGAGCAGAGTCTCTTGCTGTCCTTGGGTCAAGGTAAAAGTGTGAGGCACCGAGGCTGGAGCGATGGTGCAGTGGGGAGGGCGTTTGCCTTGCACACAGCTGACCACGTTCGAGCCCTGGCATCCCATAAGGCTCTCTGGGTACTGCCAAGAGTAATTCCTGAGAGCAGAGCCAGAAGAGGAGTAACTCCTAAGCATTGCCAGGTGTGGCTCGAAAAACAAACAGACAAAAAAAAATAACGAGGAACGTGGCTGGGGAGCAAGTTCCCGTGGTAGCGCACACGGCTCGCATGTGCCAGGGTTGTGTTCTATACCCAGAACATGGCTGGGGCACCCCTGGCTCCCCAAGCACCGCTGAGTGTGACCCTCGGGACCTCTTGTGTGCCAGCCAGGAGTGACCCTTAGTAAAAGTATAGAATCAGGAACCAAAATATGAAACAATAAATAAAGGTATTTGATTTGAGATTATTAAAATTATTTTTGAATTTTCTGTTTTCTTAGGCCGTACCTAGTAATGCACAGGGGTTACTCCTATTGATGCTGAAGGGACTACGGTATGCTATAGGATGGAACCCGGGTTGAGTACGTGCAAAGCAAGCACCCTACCTGCTGCACTATTCCTTCTGTCCCTCTTATTATTAATGCTTTTGTTGCTAAGATACAGGGGCCACACCTAGCAGTGCTCAGGGAAGGGGGTATCATTGGTGCAGGGATCAAATTGGGAGCCTTGAGCATCCTTGGCTTGAGCTCCGTCTACCACTAGAGCTGTCTCCCTGGCCCGAGATTGGATTATTATGTTCCAGCTGATTTTGCATCAACCATCTTTTCCGAAATGGTCTTTTGACAGTTAATTGTTGTAAAGACCTTTATTGGTCTTATATTTGTGTTTTATTGTGGTGATGGTTGTTTGTTGTTGAAGTGCTGGGGATTGAACCCCCAGGGCTTCACACATGCGTGGCAAGTGTTCTGGGTAATAGCTTTTGAAGCTTTCCTCTGCCAAGGTGAATAGCGTTCCCTTTGATTAAGAACAGAAGCATGGACTGGTGTGTCCATGTCTCACTGCAGGTGGACTGTGGTGAGTCACCATGACGTCTGAGGGGAGCTGGAGAGGTCCTCGTGTGGGTGGACGTGAATGGGGGGACCAGCTGGAGAGCCTCTGGATCTTTCTCGGCACCACATGAAGTTGATGGTTTTGGCTTGAATACCAGTTAGTGATGAGAGGGAGGCTTGGGGGATTAGTCCCACAGCTGTGGAAAGAATCTACGGGGAAGATAAAGGGAGTTGTCTAGGCATGAAGTGGTGAAGTCATAGACGTCAGAGGTGGCCAGGAAATGGGGAGAGCGGGTAAGAGAGCGAGGGAGAGAGATGGAGATGGGGAGCGAGCCTTTCCTCTCCCAGGTCCCTCGGTGCACTCCCGTCTCTGGATGGCTCCCATCCCGGGCCAGGTTCCAGCCACGTCCAGGAGTGGGTAGCCATCTGCACCTGTGAGAACACATGTTCCACATTCATATGTTTTCTTTTGTTTTTTTTTTTTTCCTTTGGTTTGGCTAAGAAGCAGGAATTATTGTGATGGGCGTGATGGGATGGGAAGGCTGGGTTGGGGAGCAGGGACTCAGGAGGGACAGCGCTGAGACTCTCGGGAGAGCTGTGCCCCCTGTCTGTCCAGAGGCCCCTGATCAGGAGTGTATGTGACCCCCACAGCCATCTGGGATGAGCCACTTTTCAGTCCCGCTGTCTTCAGAAGCATCTGCACTAAACTTGGTCAAGCCTCATTTCTTGGGCTGTGGAGCTTCTGGCCCAGTACAGAGCCTCAGTTCATGGTCCCTGTCTGGGACATGTGGTGCAGATGGACATGATGGCTTCACCAGTGTGGACCCTGGCTATTGTGAAAGGCACCTGCATATCGGTGAGACTGGGGCCAGCGTGAGCAGATATGAACGTTCACTGCAGAGGACTGTATCCAAGGTCCTTTAGAACAGCCCAGACAAGCCACAGGCCACTTGCTGTTTGCAGTCATTGTACCAGGGTCCCCAGGGCAGAAAGTACAGCTGGCTTAATTGGCTGTACCATATTGAAGCATTTTCTGAAGAAAAGAATCCATTTTGGGGCCTGGAAGTTGGTTCAAAGGGCTGAAACACATGTTTTGCATGTGGGAGGCAGGATTTGATCTCCAGCACTGTATGATTTCACGGCACTATATGGAATTACTCTGAAAGCAACCCAAAATGTCCATTTCCACTTCTAATGAATTTTCCCTTACTTTCCCTGCATCACTTCCTCTTCCTCCTCCTCCTCCTCCTCCTCCTCTTCCTCCTCCCTGTTGTTTTCATTTTATGGGAATTCACATGTACAGAAAATGCCACGCTCCCTGCTGAGGGAGCGCCTTGGGTCCTTGAGGCTCTCTGGGGAGAAGATGCCGGGAAATGTGCACCAGGCCTTCCCTGACTTTGACCTGACTGTCTTTGACTCTTGCTGGTTTTGCCTTGTGTCCTTTTACTGTCATAAGTCTTTTTAATTTTTAAATTTTGTATTTTTAAATTTAATTAAAGACCCATGATTTTCAAAGTTACTGATAGTTGAGTTTCAGGCATATAATATTTCATCACCAATCCCACCACCAGCATCAGCCATCTGCCAGTATCTCCTTATTCCATCCCATCCCCCACCCCCCACTGTCATAAATCTTAGTAATAAGTCTGTGGCCTGTGAGTCACCGAAAACTGAGGTAGTATTGGGGATTCCAACATACTTAATTTTTCTTGTAATGGTTCTCTTTATAGTTTCTTGGTGCTGGATCTGGTTACATACCTGTGAATGTTATTTTACATTTATTTATGTTTCAGTTTTTGTACCATACCTGGTTTGCTACATGTTTGGGAGTCACTCCTGGCAATACCCAGGGGACTGTGTGGTACTGGGGATTGAGCCCAGTATCCTGAATGCTAGCACAAGCCCAGCCTGTTGCACTATCTTCCCCATTGCTCTTTTAAATTTCTTACTTTCATTTTGTTCCTATAGATCTATTGAAACAAATAATTCTGTCTGTCCTCCTGTTGTTCATTGATTTGCTCGAGCGGGCCCAGTAAACGTCTCCATTGTGAGACTTCTTGTTACTGTGTTTGGCATATTGAATACTCTCGGTAGCTTGCCAGGCTCTCTGAGAGGGGTGGAGGAATCGAACCCGGCTCTGCTGGGCTGGCTGCGCGCAAGGCAAACGCCCTACCGCTGTGCTATTTATTTTTGGTCACAGCTGGCTGGTGGTGCTCAGAAATTACTCCTGGCTCTGCACTTAGGAATCACTCCTGAAAAGGCTCAGGGTACCATATGGAGATGTTAGGGATTGAATCCTGCTTGGCTGTATGCCAGGCAGACAACCCTACCCAGTGTACTGTCACTCTGACCCTATGTTGTCTTAACTCATGAGTGCATTCTTTGTCTCTATTAGATGTTCTTAAATTTCTTTCAACACTTTTTTTTTGTAACTTTCAATGCATGGCCTTGCATAGTATTTTGTTTCTTTGATAGTAGTCCACATAGTGAATTTATTTCACTTTAATTTCTGAGTGTTCACTACTAAATAGAAAAGTGTAATTGATTTTTGTGTTTTGATCTTGTAGTTTTGCTAAATGAGTCTATAATAGAAGTGCATATTGATTTCTGCATCCAAAGTCATGCATCTACAACATTTACTTCTTTCATTTCCGTCTGGTACCCTTGTGCATCCAGTGTGGTATTGTATAGAACGGCTGAGAGCAGAAATCCTTGTTTTATTCATCTTCCCTAAGATGAGAAAATTCAGACTTTGCCATAAAACTTGATAATAGCTTGTTTGTGTATGGTTGATCTCATTGTCAAGTTGAGGAAGTTCCCTTCAATTCCTAGTTGGCCAAGAGTTTTTATAAATAATGCCTATCATTTCAGTTGCTTTTTCTTCATCTCTTGGGATGATGTGAGAGTTCTTTTTTTGTTGGTTAATATGGTGAATTGCATTGATTCATTTCCAAATGTTAAACAACATTACTTTCCTGGGATAAATGCCACATGTTATAAATGATATGTGCTGTTATCATTTCTGTATTCTTTTGGGCTACTAATTATAAGTTTCTTTCTTTGTAATGTTATTTTCTGCTGGGGATTTAAGGGTGATGCTGGTCTCAAGAGCATGAGAAAGGGCGTATTCCCTGCTCTTGGGTATTATGAAAGAGTTTATTAGAACTGATGCTGCTCTTTCTTACATTATGGGTAGAATTCATCAACAACTTCCAAATTTTTCTTTGTGGAACAGTTTCTGGCTTTGATTCAATTTCTTTCATAGATGTGGGATTACATTTTCCCCTTCATTTTGAGTGAACTTTTGTAGCTTGTGTCTTTCAAGGAGTCTGTTCATTTAAGCCATTGAATTCACTGATATGACATTATTTCTCACTATCTTTTCAGAGCTCTCCCATAGAGTTTTAGTGATGTCACCTCTCATTCTTGAGGATTGTTTTTGTGTCCTTTCATTTCTCATCAGTATGTATAACTTACTGATTTTATTGATCTCAATAATCAGCTTTTGATTTTACTGATTTTTCTACTTATTTTATTATTTGTTTTATTCTACTCTATTTTAAATTTATTACCCTACTTTTTATTACTTTTTTTGGGGGGTGGGGATGCTCCCAGTGGTGCTCAGGGTTAATTCCTGGTTTTGTGCTAAGGAACCTCTCCTGCGGGCTCAAGAGACCATATGGGATGCCAGAGATTGAACCCAGGTCGGCTAAGTGCAAAGCAAGTGCCTTACCTGCTGTACTTGCTCCAGCCATCTTATAATTTATTTAACTAGATGCTGGGGCCATCAATTCAAGGCCTTTTTTCTTCTAATAAACACGTTTAATGCTTCAGATTTCCACCTAAGTCTTGCACTAGCAGCACCCCATGAAGTTTGATATGTTGTGTTTTTGTTTATTAGTTAAAACATTCTGTCATTTCCCTTCTCTGATTCTTGGGTTGTTGAGGTCTGTTGTTTGGTCTCCAGATATTTGAGTGATTTTCTGGAAATACTTGATTGAATTAATGTTTTGTTATTGACTCAGAGTTCCCCAATAAAGTATTTGGTTTTACATGCTTATGAAGCTAACATTGTATACTTTTAAATATCTAATCACTTTAATGAATGTGCCCTTAGATTTTCAAGTAGACACGTTACATTTTTAAATGTTCCCAATGTCAGGGGAAAATAGATCTTTGGTATCTGTGTAAGCTCTTGTTCATAATAAAATAAGAGTCGGCAGTTACTGAGAACTTATTGTGGGTTAGAACTGTTCGGCATTTAACATGTATTTCCTCTTCCAGTCATTGCTCAGGCCTTTGTGATAGTAACAATATTAACCTGAGTATTTGACTGTCTTTGCCTCATCAGATACAGGACATTATGACATTTTGGTCAACCACAAACTACATATGTGGCCTCAGATTCTTACAGCCTAGAATATCTTAGCTGTTGTAGTATTTCACACAAGCAGCAACTCAGTATGTGTCATGTTTATTGGACCTCTTGATAGCATAAATGTCCTTTTTGCTTTATATCATCCTCGCCATGGCCTGCAAGTGTTTACAGCCCTTGCAGATGTTGCCAGGAGGAGGCCACCAACAAGTGATTGCCCTGGAGACAAAAGGTGGTCAGGAAGGGGAAAGATAGAACAGTGATGGTTTCTGCTCTCCAGTCAGGCATGTCTCCTCATGCACTATATCTCCCATCTTGAAGAATAAAAACAGAGAAAATAGGAAAATATGAAAGGTTTTGCTTTATTAAAAGCAAGGAGAATGTCAAACTCCAGACAGGCCCCTGCCAGCTCTGAGAGACTTGCAGTGCCCTGGCTGAAGATCAGGCATCGAAATTCATCCCTCTCAGATCCATGATGCTCACAGCCCAAATGAGAAATCTTGTTTGTGACCTTGAATTTATTGCCATTCACTTTGTAATATGAAAAGGGTAAGTCTGTGATATAAAAGCAGATGGAAAAGTTTTAGATTAGGGTCAGGAAGATGGCTCAAACATCTACAATGCCTTGATCCTTGAGCACTGCCCCAAGCACCAAGCCTGGAGAAGTCTCTGTGCCCTGCCAGGTGGGTCCCCCGAAACCAAGAATGGAAAAAAATGCTTTAAATAAACTGACTATCACTTAATCACTTAACTTCCCGTTAGTCGTTGATTTGCTCGAGCGGGCGCCAGTAACGTCTCCATTTGTCCCTGTCCCGTGCTAGTGTAGCCCAATGGTATCTGTTCTCTCTGGGAACATGAAGAACCTCAAACCGATCGTTCATGATCTTGATGAAGTCTGACCATCTGGTAGGTGGGTGGCCACGCGGTCTTTTGACATCCCGTGGAATCCAGTTGTAACAACACTAGTCCAGCGGTCGTCTTTAAATCTCATTACGTGACCAACCATTCTGATTTTTGACACCTTGGCAAATGAGACAGCATCCCTGATTTTTGATTGTCGACGGATGTCGGAACTCCGGATTCTTTCTCTCATTTGAGTGAAACGTGATATTCCAAGCATAGCTCTTTCTATTCTTCTTTGGGAGACCTGAATAGCGTTCTCATCCTGTTTTTGTAGGGCCCACGTCTCTGAGGCATATGTTAATGCAGGAAGAACAATGGAATCAAAGAGATGTGCCCAGAGCCGGAGGTTCTTCGTCCTCTCAGCTATTTCTTCGACGTTCTTGAAGGCGTTCCAAGCCACTCTCTTCCTCCTGCGCAGCTCGGGTGCCAGGTCATTTGTCATGTTGACTTCTCGACCTAGGTACACATAGCTGTTGCATTCGGAGATGGTCGTTCCATTGAGAGCGAATGGGGCATCAGGAACAAGGCTGTTTCTCATAAACATTATCTTCGTAAGATTCAGCTGTAGTCCTACCTTTCCACACTCATGGTCAAAGTTGACCAGCATTTGTGCCGCTTGGCTGATGTTTGGTGTTATTAAAACAATGTCATCAGCAAAGCGGAGGTGGTGTAGTTGCCGACCATCAATCTTCACTCCCATTCCTTCCCATTCCAGTCATCGCATGACGTTCTCGAGGGTGGCACTGAAGAGTTTCGGTGAAATGGTATCACCCTGCCGAACCCTTCTTGACATCAATGATTACTTCTTTGTAGAATGGTGAGATCCTGGTAGTGAATCCGCAATACAGCTCACAGAGGATCCTGATGTATTGGGCTTGAATGCCCTGATTGGCTAGGGCTTCAATGACCGCTTCCATCTCAACAGAATCAAAGGCCTTCTTTAAATCAATGAATGTTAAACAGAGCAGCATCTTGAACTCCCGAGAAACCTCAATGAGCTTGGTTATCGTGTGGATATGGTTGATGGTGCTGAATCCTTTGTGGAACCCGGCATGCTCGCATGGTTGTCCTTCATCTAGTGTTCTACCAATCCTATTTAGGATGACTCGAGTGAACAACTTGTAGATGACAGACAATAGGCAGATCGGGTGATAGTTGCCAATGTTGTGGATGTCTCCCTTCTTGAATAGTAGTACGGTCCTGCTGGTTTTCCATTGGGACGGAACCTTGCATTCAGACAGGTAGCGTGTGAAGAGCCGAGCCAGTGTATTGATGAGTACTGACGGCAGGTTCTTCAGGTGTTCAGGTCTGACCTTGTCTGGGCCGGGTGCTGTTCGTTTCCTTACCTACGAAATGGCGTGTTGGATTTAGGAAGGGAGAACGTTGGGAACGACATATCCATCCTGTGGAATTTGGTATGTCGGCAAGTGGACATGGCTATCGAAGAGATTTGAGTAGAAGTCATGGATAATCTTCTCTATTGCCGTTCTGGAGGATGTGATGGATCCATCAGGATGTCGGAGGGCAGTCATCTTGGTCTTGTAGTTGGTAAAGGACAGGCGAGCGTTACGAATACTTTTCCCGGCTTCTGCCGCAACTGACTATAGAGGAAGATTACTTGCCAGAGTCAAGTTTCTCCACGGATGAACATTCCTTATCCTGTAAAGGACTTGATCCATAAGGAGGCTTGAAGGGACTTTGATCCATAAGGAGGCCCCATCAAGGCCAGGTTCCAAGGCATTAAGGACAGAGTACAGACTGGCTGGGCGGAATCTCTGTAGACTGGCCCTTCTGGAAGGCGGCCAGTGGCGAGGAGGAGGAGGAGGAGGAGGTGGAAGGCGGCGACAGCGATGAGCTCAGCCCGGGGCAGCCCCCAGGGCCCTGCCGCTACTCCCAGCTGCCTTTATTTTCTCGCCTTTTCTTTTCCCCCTTAACGAAGTCGTTTCCTAAATTTATAACTTCAAAAAACAAAATGAAACACAACAAACACGTTTAGCCCGAAGCCCGACAGCAAATAGGGAGCATACTGCTCGTCTATTCTGTCTCATTTTCTAGTCAACAAAATTAAAAAAAAAAAAAGAAAGAAAGAAATTCAAACCTTTAAAATAAATGTAGAGAATCAGGCTAGAAAGAAAACTAATTTTTTTTGGAGGGCGGGGGGGAGGGTCCTGTTGTCCAGTGCGTTTCTCCTTTATACTGGGCGTTCTCACACAGACACATACACACACACACACACACACACACACACAGTCCAAGGAGAGAGAGAGCGAGAGAGGTTTATAAAGTAGAAAGGTTAGAGTCAGCGAAGAGGAATTTATACCCCAAGTAAGGAAGATGGTTTGCTTGTTTGTTTGTTGTCTGTGGATTTGGCCGCTGCGTTGGCTCTGTGACTTCGGCTCGGTGACGGAATGGCGGCCGGAAGCCGCCCTCGCGAAGCCACATCTCACTTCCGGTGTCCCACTTCCGGCTTCCGGCGCCTCACTTCCGGCGTCCGGTCCCGTTGACATTGGCTCCTGGCTGGGGGTGTGGCAGTGCTCCTCCTCGGAGATATTCCCAGGCGCGAACCCCTGTTGCGTGGGGGCTGCCGAGGGTTGGCTCTGCGGCCTCGCCATGCACTTTTCACTGCAGACTGGCCGTGCCAGGGCTGCCCAGGTGGCCACCCCCCCCCCACCCTACCCCCACCCCCCAAGCAGGCCTCGGGCTCCCACTTGCATCGCCGCGGGGACCAGCTGCAGCAGCCGTGGGGACCAGCCTGGCGGGAAGCATCCCTGGCCCTGTGCCGTCCACTGCAGAAGGCCCTGGGCAAAGCTTGGCAATGCTGCCCTCGGGTGATGTCTTTTGTCCTCTCCATCCCCCTGCAGAGGCTGATCAGCGTCAACTATCTAGGCAGCGTGTACCCGAGCCGCGCCGTCATCGCCACCATGAAGGAGCGCCGCGTGGGCAGGATCGTCTTCGTGGCCTCGCAGGCTGGGCAGCTGGGCCTGTTCGGCTACACGGCCTACTCGCCCTCCAAGTTTGCACTCCGCGGATTGGCAGAGGCCTTGCAGATGGAGGTAAGCGCTGGAGGCAGCCCTACCCCTTGGCATGTGCATTTATGTAGGTGATGCACTGCCCCCCTGGGCTTGCAGTGTGGGGACTTGCACCTGGGGGCTACTAGGGGACCAAGTGGTGCCAGGGATCGATCCCAGGGAAGGCTCCTGCACGCAGGGCATTCGTTCTAGCTCTGTGAACTCTCTCCCCAGTTCAGTTTTAATTTATCTCTCTTTTTTTTGGGGGGGGGGCTCGCCTGGTGGTGCTTTTGGGCTACTTTTGGAGATGCTTGGGTCCCACTCTTGGTGGTGCTCAGGCATTTCTGGAAATGGAACCTGAGTCTTTGGCAAGCAAAGCATTTGCTCTGGTCCTCTGAGCTATCTTGATGGCCCTCACTTTTATTTTTATTCTTTTTCGCAATCCAAGGTATGCTCTTTTGTTTGTATTTTCTCTGCACATGTTGTATCAAATTAGAGAATTGAGGTTGACTCCACGCTGAGTCTGACATTGAGCGTTTTTCTAATAAAGATTATTATAATGAGGATTAAATGATTGCAAGGGTTCTGTTCTTAATTTAACTGCGCAGAGTACAGGTAATTCCTCCAGATACTGTTCTAACCCTCTGTGAGTATGCATAAGATTCAACAGACATTGGTTCATGGAGATGTGCCTTCAACCAAGAAACCCGCCCTTTATGACTAAATGTGGCAGTGATTGAGGGTGCATTGAGAGGAGAGTTTAAATCAGCTTCTCATTAGCTCTCGGCTTCTGGAGCAACCAGTTAAAGCCCCCTGTCTCAGACTTCCTTCAAGAGGTAGAACGAAAAAGATCCCTTGGTCCTCCTGCGGCTTCTCTTTCAATTCCAAGATCAGAGTCGAGTCTTTAAAAAACAATTTTTTTTTCACAGCAGAACATTTTGTGGAAGGTGTGGTTAGGATTAGTGTCAGGGTGAGTGTTTCCCATCTATTGCTGCATGGTTGTCACCCTGGGATGTATCTCGAGCATCACACCTTCCCGGCCCGAGTCAGCAGCTGCGAGAGGGAAGGTGTGATTCTTCCCATGGCAGCGCACGCAGCCCTGTACTGTGGTGGTCCAGCTTTTCCAAGCAGGGAATCTGGGAATCTTTGGGAATCTCAGAAGTTGTTGAATCTTTTCTGTATGGGCCAGAGTAAATCTTTTCGCCTTTGAGGGCCACATGGTGTCTTATGATGTCTCTCTGACCACTTGCATCTTCTGTGATCGTGGGGAGATGGCCCTTCACAACATGGGAGTGCGGGGGGCGCTGTGTTTCATCTGAACTTTGTGTTATAGGAAATAGGGTGGAGGAAATTAGCCTAGGGGAAGGGGTTGTAGGTGTGGGCGAATAAGTAAAGGGGTCGGGGGTCAGTTGGATAGAGACAGCTGGAAATGAGGATCAATAGTAGAGATCTTGAATTCTAACACCCTAAAGCCAGTGTTCCTGCAGTACCAGTTAATTCATTGTGATTAAAGAACGCAAAATATAACACCAAGCCCACAGCCAGAGAGCCAGCCTTGGCCCACAGGGTTTAGTTAAACGACCTTTGCTTTGGGGTAGCCCAGAAGTTCCCGTAGGCATGAGAAGAGGCCTGTTGTCGGGCGCGGGGGCCTTGGGACACAGGGCGGGATTGCTTGGAGGGTGAAGCTGGGTTCTAACAGCCCTGCTCCCTGTGGCTGGGCCACGTTAAGTGCTAAGAGTCTGGCTGTGTCCTGGGTCATGTGATTTACCTGCCCCCTACTCCCCTTTCCCTGCTGACCACCAGTTGGTCTCAGAGCGACCCCCCCCCTTTTTTTTGGTGGGGGGGAGTGCTCACCTGGCGATGCTCAGGGCTTACTCCTGGCTCTACATTCAGGATCACTCCTGGAAGAGCTCAGAGGACCATACGGGGTGGTAGGAATCAAACCTGGGCTGGCCATGTGCAGGGCAAACGCCCCCCCCCACCAGGTGCAGCCCGCCATCGGTCTCTCCCAGTTCTGCCTGGGACGGAAACACAAGGTCGTTTGCTTCTCTGTGGGCACCGTCACCTCCCCAAGGAAGCAGCCTCAAGCTTTCCCTTTTCTCAGCTCTGTGCTCTGCATCTCTGCCCCGACAGTCGGGTCTGTGAGGCTGATGGTGTTTCTTGGGTCGTTTCCCCTCGGAGAGGGCCCTGGGCGAGGGAGCACTTTGTTTCTCTGGCCACTTTGTCCAGGGGCGAGGCAGAGAGCTTGATGGTGGCCTCACGGGGATGAAATTTCCAGTGGCCCCGGCTTCCTGTTTTTGGCACTGGGTCTCGCCGGATCTCAGAGCAGAAATCACTCCGTTTGTCGGGTGCTGAGTGTCAGGCCTCACCCTGGTCTTGGAGCCCTGCTTGGAAAGGGGCGTTTGAGGCGGGACAGACCCACCCCTTGGAACTTTCTGTCCCTCAGTCTGGCTCTGCGAGTCACAGGCACAGGCACTGGGCGATGATGGTGATATCTGGGTGGCCTCATTTCCCAGCAGGCAGAACAGATGTCAACACGGGGGAGGAGGAAGGAGGGAGTTGCTAGTATGAACAGAGTCCCTGAGGCTCTGGGCGACAAGCGTGATTCACAGCCCGTGCCAGGCCCCGGCTTGCCGGCCCGTGCCTCTGGGCTCCCCTCGGAATGTCCACTCTGAGCACTGGTGGGAACAGCAAGGCTGGGCCACAGGCAGCAGACTTCGGAGGGGGGGGGACCCTCGTCCACCTCTGCTTGCTTTGTGACGTGTGCATGGGCTGGGGGGTGTTTCGAGTCCCACACAGCCCGGGGTCCTGGGAATGATGCCTCACAACACAGCTGCTGTCAAGTCCTTTGGCTATTTTTTTCTTTTAAAGTAAAGCAAGTTGGCTTTTATTGAAAGGTTTGTTTAGAAAGCTGCAAGGAATAGGTGTTCCAAGAGAACGCTGGCTTCTACAGATCTAGAATAGAAAAACGCTAAAAGAGCACTGTAAGAGAGAGCACAGGCTGGAATGACAAGCTCCTTTTTGGTTCATTGAGCACAGAACAGCTTTCTCTCCAGCCCCATCCCTAGGCCCGCTGAAGTAGGATCCTAGAAACACTTATGTACGAAGAGTCATTTTTGAAAGGATGCTTTGTTGGTGGGCTGGAGCAATAGCCCAGTGAGTAGGGTGTTTGCCTCGCACACGGCTGACCCGGCCAAACTGGGTTCGATTCCTCCGCCCCTCTCGGAGAGCCTGGCAAGCTACCGAGTGTGTCTCGCCCGCACAGCAAAACCTGGCAAGCTACCCATGATGTATTCAATATGCCAAACACAGTAACGATGGGGATGTTACTGGGCCCACATGAGCAAATCGATGAACAGTGGGAGGACAGTGCCACAGTGCTTTGTTGGCATTTTTTTCTTTCCTATTTTCCCCCAGTCTTGTAAGTGCAGATATTAAAATTTTTTTAAAGTTGTGGGTTTGGGGCTGGAGCGATATAGTACAGCAGGTAGGGCATTTGCCTCGCACATGGCCGATCCAGATTCGATTCCCAACATCCCATAGGGTCCCCTGAGCACCACCAGGCATAATTCCTAAGTCCAAAATCAGGAGTAACCCCTGTGTATCACCGGGTGTGACTCAAAAAGCAAAAATAAAAAAAGTTGTGGGTTTCTTTTTGGGGGGAGGCGGGTGCTGAGTGATAGTACAGCAGATAAGGCACGTGCCTTGCATGAGACCAGCTTGGGTTCAATCCCTGACACCCCATATTGTTCTCAAGCCCACCAGGAGTAAGTAGAAGGAAAGTAGGGGTCTTTCTTTCTCCTTCTCCACCTGACTATGTATGCTCCTCCCAACCTTCACCCCCACGCACCAAGTCATCATGACACCATGTGTGCGACTTGGAGCTGACACTCAGGGTAGAGGGTCCCTTTCACACGTCTGCTCCACCGTGTTTGTGTGTGTGTGTGTGTGAGGGGGGGGGGGAGAGGGAGAGATAGAGATCTCAGGATCACAGGGTAACAGGTGAGTTCTGAGCCACTGGACATCTCTGGTGGACGGACACATGATCCCAGCATGGGAGCTGGAGACGGAGGCTGAGTGGGAGGAGCAGAGGAGAGGCCAGGGAGGGCGTGGTGGCTGCGGGGAGCACCGTCTGCAGAAACGAGCAGAGCTGCAGTTTCCCTGGAAACTTTCCCCGCTGGGATGCTGGAGTCACGGAAAGGACAGGGTCATTGTAGTCCCGTGCCCCGGGCCTTCCTTCAGTTCCAAATGTCTCAGAAGGCTGTCGGCGCTGCCCATGTCACGGTCAGGGTGCTGGCCCTCGCAGAGTCCAGGGGGAGGGAGTCATTTGTGACTGTCGGGGGTGACCTTGGGAGAGCTGCTGGCACCTTCGGGAGCGCAGCCATGACCTTGGACGTGGAGTGCTCCCTTGACGCGCCCTCCGGACTTCGAAGCCTGGTCCTTCCTGGGAGCCCCGGCACCCTGGAATGTTCTCATCTGGGCAGCCAGCTTTAAGCTTCAAACAGGCGGCCTCAGGGACTCTTGGGAGCCTCGGGTGGCCCTGAGGACAAGGCAGTGGGAGGGCGTTTGTTTTTTAATGTCTCTTGGAGGCAGTATTCGGGAAGGACCCACTCCTCCACCTCGCGGGCCGACCCGGCTCACGGCTTTCCCAGCACCCCGGGCTTGGAAGCTGCTTGCCGGTGGATGTCGGCGGGTGCTCCCGCACCCTCAGCACCTCGCAGCCCCTCCCACAGGGACCCAGCCTTTGGCTCTCTCACCCTCGAGGTTGCTTGCCAGGACTCTTCCCCTCCTGTGCTCCTAGGATTGCTCCCAGCCCTTGGGAAGATGGGGGCAGGACCAGCCTGCATAGGCCAGAGACTGTTCTCACGCCCGCGAAGGTGAGGAGGGCTTCCAGGAAGGGGAGTGGTCTCCATGCAGAGTAGGGGTGAGGTTGTCTTCTCAGGAGGCGCTTGGCTGGTTGGACGGGGCTCACCCAGGGGGCGGTCCTGTTCTGTGGAAGAAGGCCCGCACCCCGGTGAGTCCACGCCTCCCATTCACACCTCTCGGGAGACAGAGACTTCTGGACCTGGACTTCGGCACTCATTCCATGTACGCCCCCTTTTTGTCTGAGAAATTTCTACCCAAACTTGGGTATGTTACCATGACAGGTAACAAATCGTAAGTCTTTAATCTTTGAAAGCACCTTTTTTTGTGATGCCAGCATTGAGTTCTGTGCTCCCCCCCCCCCCAGGTGGGGTTGCGGCCCGTAGTTTTAGGAAGTTGGGCTTGGGGCTTTAGCCTGGCATTCCCGGGAAAGGATGTGGGTGAAATCTGGGGTGTTTCAGAAGTGAAATCAACCTGTTTCAGGAGCTGGGCCGGAGCGATAGTATGTCGGGGAAAGGCTTTACCTTGCAGATTACGGACCTGGGTTCCGTCCCCAGCATCACATATGGTCCCCTGAGCACCCCTGGGTGTGGTGCCCCCCCCAACAAAACAACATAAATACCACCAATAGCAATAAGAAGAAGATGGGCTGAAGAGATTGTATATCAGATAAGGTGCTTTACCTTGCTCACAACTGACCCAGGTTCGATCCCGGGTATTCCATATGATCCCCCCTAAGCACTGCCAGGAGTGATGCCTGAGCACCGCTTGGTGTGGTCCCCAAACAAAAACAAAAAGCTGCCAGGAAGGAGCTTGGCGGATAGGTGGCAGGCGAGGGGGCTTGTCCTTCCACTGGAGTGCCGTGTGACCGCGATGCGGGAGCGCAGCTCTCTCAGTGCACAACTTCCCCAGCCGCCTCCTGGCCTGCGGAATTGGACGACGTGGAAAGGGCAGTGGGTTTCCACTCCCGGGCATAGCCCTTTTCCGGAGCTGGCGGCTGGAGGTGAGCTTTGTGTGCTCATTTCTTTGTGCAGGTGGGTTTACGCGTGGGGTACTGATGCCTCTCTGCCTCCAGCCCCCCAGGCCCAGGCTGCCTTGGGGAAGCGGGGTGGGACGCCGTGCGTGGGTCTGGCAGCCTGGTTGGGAGGGAAGATGTGGACTCTCATGTCATTTCTGAAACACAGGTGAAGCCCTACAATGTCTACATCACAGTTGCCTATCCGCCCGACACAGACACGCCCGGCTTTGTGGAAGAGAACAAAACCAAGGTGAGTGCCACCAGCCCTCACCCTGTCCCCTGCCAGCCCCTCTGCCCACCCTCCAGCGCCCCACCTTCGTCATCAGTCAGGAAATGGATTCCCTTTCCACAAAGACACGGGCCAAGGGGGCTCAGGACTTTTTAGAACTTGCAGTTGGAGTCTTGGGGGAAGCACCCAGGTTGCCAAAAGAGGTGTTTTCTGCTGCTCATCTTGGAAGCCTGGCTTAATGAAGGGATGTTTTGCGTATGATGCTAAACACAGCCTCTATTTTTAACTAGTGAGATGATACTCTTTAAAAGTAATATTCTGTCCTCTGAACTCGGTTGCCGAGTCATTGTCTCTACCCGAGACCTCAGGGGCATCTCAGCACTGGAGCACCTGGACTTCTGGTTTCCTCCATCCTTCCGCATTTGCCTTTCTTGATCTGGTGTCCACCCCACCCCGCTCGCGGCTTCCTCAGCTGTTCGGGCAGGAACCTGGGACTCAGCCTGGGCTCCCTGTCCGCTGGCTCTGCCCGCCCGCAGGTCCTTCTGGGTCCGCGATCCGAATGTATCCGGGCCGGGGAGACGGCTCAGAGCGCCAACCCCACGCCAGGCGCAGTGCCACAGACCCGCACCACTGACTCAGAGCTCTGCTGGGGAAGCTCCCCCAAATCCCCCCAAAACCCAGCACTCTGAATCTGCTTCCAGTTTCGCTGCTGCTCATAAGCTGCCTTCTTGGGAACAGTAGCCACTGATGCGATGCGTTTGCCCGACTCCGTAAGCCAGCAACTGCCCGGCCCTCTTTTAGAGTCTGTCCTTCAGGGAGTGGCCCAGGATTGTGGGAAGCGGATGTCAGTCTGTGCCCCTCCCGTCTTCAAACCCTTTCTCATGTGAAGGCTAACACCCCCACAGGTCCCAAACCTGGTGTGCACCATGGCCTGAATGTTCTAGAAGGATGACCTTGTTCCCTATGGCTATGTTCCTTTGGTAATTGTCGGGCGCTTGGAATGTGGCCAGTGGATGTCAGAAGCTGGGCAGTTAGTTTGGGGGGAGAGGGGGCTCCCAGGTGATGCCCAGGAGGCCTAGACTCGTTGCTTCTTGTTCAGTGGCAGGCACCATCACATCAGGGCAGGTGCCCGAGGAGGTGGCACTGCTCACGCCCCACAGTGCTGGGGGTACCCGGGGCCCCCAAGGCCGCCCCCCGGCAATCTTAGAGACCCGTGGAATCGAATCCGAGTTGGGCGCATACTAGCGCTGTGTTACCTGCTAGGCCTCGAACCTGAAGGGAAGTTCCGCAGCACACGTTGGTAGTGACTGCAGAGAAGGGTCTGGACCCCAGTTCCCAGCCTGCTGGGAGAGGCCCGGCCACCTGCCCACTGCCCATGTCTCCCGCCCTGTGCTTAGCCGTGCCGGAGCCCTCACAAACGTCTTCGAGCTTTGAGACGTGGCCGTTGGGACCCGTGTCTTCGGGTGTTTTGGGGACTCGCCGCTTTCTCCTCAGAAGGGCCCTTCCTGTTCCTCCTTTGTTGCCAGGGGAGGCTCAGCGTTAGTGAGATCAGATGGGGCTGGACTTTGGGCCTTTACTAAGATAAGGCCACTCCCAGCGCCGCTTGGCTACCTGGGGTGGACGTTCAACGCGAGGACCCGGTGCTGGGGTTACCAGGGCCACACCTGCAGGTGCGCACAGGGGCCCCCGGGCCACACCCTGCAGAGCCCAGGGCCCAGGTGGTGCCGAGGACGGACACGGCACAGTGCCTGGCGCTGTCCCCAGAGCCCCTCTGGTCCCTTTGCAGCTCTGCCAGCTCTTCCCCGCCCCCGCCCCCGCCCCTGCTTTATTTCCACCCTGGTTGCTGGTCACTGCTGCCGCTGGCCTGAACACCAGCCCTGTGCTGCCCTGACTCCGAGCAGGAAAGACCCCTGCAATACAGAGCTTAGTCGCTGCCAGATTCTAACCCAGTTCTGATGGTTTTTTTCTTCCCTCATGGCGTGTGAATAGAACTGGCCCATGAGCTCCACATGCATAGAACATAGAACATGCATAGAACTGGCCCGTGAGCTCCACACACTGTAGATCTGTAGAGCTGTTTAGGATTGAAAATCGTATTTCCCCTCTCCATTTTTTTCTTTGGCTCAGCCGCTGCTGCCTCTTCTTCCTCCTCTTCCTCACCCTCCCCCCCCCCCCACCCCAGTTTTCTTCTTCTAATTTGGGACCCCTGCTTACACCTGGCCTGGCCTCTTATAACATTTGAGGTTCTGGAGAAGGAAACTCCTTCAAAGGTCCTGCCTTAGGACACGTGGGGACCCACCCAGCAGACCCGTGGTGTTGGGCGAGCAGTCTTTTTTTGAAACTGAAGCTGACCAAGGGTGGTGATTTCCCTGTGGAGGTTGGATTTAGATGTCAAGGTGGATATTTCGTTTTCTTCCTTCCCGTCAATGGTGGGGCAGGCCTCTTCCAGTAACTAAGATTACGTGCTGGCTCGTGGGCCCTGTAGGGGGCGCCATCGTGCTTTAAAAAAATCCACAGATCTGTCACCTAGGGCAGGACGAGCCAGTGGGGGCGGCGACCTTTCTCTTCATTCAGGTTCATCAGGAAATGCATGGCATGTAAAGCTTTTCTCTCCTAAGAGATCATACCCATGTGTTTACTAAAATTTAAATTTCTACCTCTAATGGTGACAGAATGGACAGTTCTGTGCAGTTGAAGTCGGGTTCTAATGGAAATTCCGTTTTACAAAATGTCGTGCATGTCGCCACCCACCCACACAAGATTCAAAATAAATGAGGGAGAAGATCCTTTGAGGACCTCAGTTGGTCCAATGCAACGTAGACAAGTAGAATAAGCTCCAGTAATATATTTTAAAGCAGCAAGGAGAGGAAAGCAAGACGAGATAACTGTCCGTTCAGAATTCAGGGATACCTTTTTTTTTTAAAAAAAAATCATGGGGCCACGGGGCTGGAGCAATAGCCAGAGGGTAGGGCATTTGCCTTGCACGCGGTCAACCCGGGTTTGATTCCCAAGCATCCCATATGGTCCCCTGACTGCCACCAGGAGTAATTCCTGAGTACAGAGCCAGGAGTAACTCCTGAGCATTGCTGGGTATGGTCCAAAAAGCAAAAAAAAAAAAAAAAAAAAAAGTCACGGGACCACCCTCAGCGGTGCTCTCTCCAAGGTCACACGTGGCCGTGTCGGGGGGCCTGTGCCTTCCACTCATGCGCTCTCCCCTCCTGCCTTCCCACCCCCCAGTTCTGATGGGGATCACGGCAATGGACCTTTTGAGGAGAAAGAGTATGCTTTGGGCTTTCTGGTGCTCCCGGAAAACACTTCCCCAGGCGCAGGGCCCAGCTGGGCTGCCCCTCCCCCAGCCTCCCTCTCGTCTTCTCGGTCAGGCCAGGGCTGCGGCTCTGCCGTGCCTGGTCCGCACCCTCGGCCTAGGCTCTGCATCCTGTGTCTCCACGGTGCTGAGTGGCTTCTCGGACGGGGCACAGGGCGCGGGTCACTCCAGTTCTGCTGGTCGTCGCTGGAACTGGGCCCTCCCCTGCCCAGTGCCCAGGGCCTCCTGTTCGGCCTTGGTGACTGGGCTGCTCTCACCTGCAAGGTAGAAACGGATCAAGAATTCTAGCTGGGCCTCATTCTGACAACGGAAAGGCGCTCCCCGGTGAGCGGTCGGACGGGGCACTGCACGGATGATTGCCCTTTGCCGCGCAACGGGCCGCTGCGGGTGGGTAGTGACATGTCCAGTTCTTCCACTTTCAGCCCCTGGAGACTCGTCTCATCTCAGAGACCACATCTGTGTGCAAACCGGAGCAGGTGGCCAAACAGATCGTGAAAGACGCCATCGTAAGTGCAACATTGCCTTTGCTCTCTTTGTGAGCGTTTGGGGAAAGGTGTTTGTCCCAGGGCTTGAGCAATAGCACAGCGGGTAGAGCATTTGTCGGGAGGGCCGACCCGGGTTCGATTCCCAGCATCCCATATGGTCTCCTGAGCACCGCCAGGAGTAACTCCTGAGTACAGAGCCAGGAGTAACCCCTGTGCATCACGCCATCGTAAGTACAACATTGCCTTTGCTCTCTTTGTGAGCGTTTGGGGAAAGGTGTTTGTCCCAGGGCTTGAGCAATAGCACAGCGGGTAGAGCATTTGTCGGGAGGGCCGACCCGGGTTCGATTCCCAGCATCCCATATGGTCTCCTGAGCACCGCCAGGAGTAACTCCTGAGTACAGAGCCAGGAGTAACCCCTGTGCATCGCCAGGTGTGACCCAAAAAGAAGGGAAAAAAAGGGTGTTTGTCCCACACTTGACATGAATCGTATGTTTCTGGGCCGGCACATTCGTCATATCCCGTGCCTCGCTCTGCTCGTCTCCTCGGACGCGGTGGGCTCTGTCGATATCTATGTTCAGTGCTTGGGCCAGGTCTGCCTCTCGGCTCCTGGCTCTGCACAGGGCTCGGCCCCGAAGCAGGGGCTAGCGGGACCAGATGCGGGGCGAGGGGTCGAACCTGGATTGGCCACGTGCGAGGCAAACGCCCACCCGCTGCCTGTCTCTCGCACCCTACTAGGAATTCTGCATCCTGTCTCGGGGCCGCTGCTTGATAAGCATGGCTGCTGGGAACTTGGGTTCTTCTGCAAAGCACACGAGACTCGCCCTCTCCCAGATGTGCGGGGCCTCGGCCTTGTGCCTTCCCTGGTAGCTGCTGTTTGAATCACTGTAGCTGCCCTGTGGCTGGCATCAGATAAAGGACTCTGAGCCCTGCAGTGTCTCCCCCGTCAGGTGTGGCCACCTGCATGTATTCTGCGCCCAGTCAGAGCGGTTTCTCAGAGCAGCGTGGGTGTCGCCAGCCCCTTGACAAGTTCCGCCAACTTGCCACGTAGAGGAGGGGAGCCTGGAAACTGAGGCTCAGGGTGTACTTGGGGATTTGGGGGCCGGGAGGTTGAGACACGCCCATGGACCTGTGGCGCCAATAAGTGGGAGGGGCGTGTCCCCCTCCGTGACTTGAGGGCAGATGGGCAGAAGCCAGGCAGACCCGGCCCCACTGAAGCAGCCCGAGTCTCTGTGCTCGGCTCAGCTTGACTGTTCCCAGAAAAACGCTCTCCCCACCCCCATGCCCGCCCCGGACCCCATGAGTTTGGCTTTTCCTGTTTATCTCCGGGCGCAGCAAATGCGCTCTTTGGTGAGGAGTCGGGAAGATCCCTTTTTACTTCAGAAGGGTTTATTTAGTCTGGTGCGTCTCAAGTATGTGCCTCTCTTGGCGTGTTGTTTTTGGGCCACACCCTGTGGGGGGGGGGCACGAGGTGCCAGGGGTGGAGCCTCCCGGACCCTCCCATTGTTCCTCTCTCAGCCGTTTCAGACGCTGCATCGTCGGCAACCCCAGAAAACTCAACGCAGAGTCTGATCTATACTGTTGTCACCTTAGATATTGCAATCGAACAGCTTTTTATTTTTTTTATTTGTTTTTATTTTATTCTTTTTGGGTCACACTGGCGATGCACAGGGGTTACTCCTGGTTCTGCACTCACAAATTACTCCTAGCGGTGCTCAGGGGACCCTATGGGATGCTGGGAATCGAACCCGGGTCGGCTGCATGCAAGGCAAACGCCTTCCCCGCTGTGCTATCGCTCCAGCCTCGGAGCCGAACAACTTTTTAAGAAAAGCCTATTAATCCATTTTCTTTTTCTTGTGGCCACACCCGGCGATGTTCTGGGGTTACTCCGGCTCTACATTCAGGAATCACTCCTGGTCCCTCGGGTGCCAGGGATCAAAGCTGGGTTGGCTGTGTGCCTGGCAAACACGACCCTCTGCTGTGATTGCAGCCCCTATCCCATTTTTTCAGTGGCGGTGGTGAACCCACCCCACTTCCGCGGGACCCCGTCCCAGTTGCAGTCAGTTCAGAGCGAACGTCAAGGGTGCGTGGTGCGGTTCCCAGACCCCGTGAGTGTCGAGAACAGCTGCCTCTGACCTGCCTCGTGTGTCGTTCTCGAGGAAGGGTCCAGGGAAGGCGCGGGTGCATTGAAAGGAGGCGGAGGGTGGGGTTAGGCTCCTCAGACACTTGTGGGTGCTCTTTGATCCTGAAAGCCAAACTCAGGAGCCGTTTCCTCAAGCTTAGTTGCGCCGTGGAATGGGAACCTCCATCAATGAACTTTTTGTTCTCTGTTCCCTTTAAGACCCATTGGTCTGTCTTGTACTTTGAATGTTTTGTCCCCATTCATGGTTTTGTAATATGACACATTAGTCATTTGGAAAATATGGGTTCACTGAGTTACCAAAAAAAAAAAAATCGCATCCATTCACATCGTGGCTCATCTAAGTGGAGTCTGTACAACGGGAAGCTGACAGACCCGCGAGTGTGACATTTCCCAGATTCCCCCTTTCTCGGAAGCTCAGGCTTTAGCTTGGGCCCTGGAAGCGTTCCTCGATGAGACGGGCTGACTTTGCTCCTTTTCCCCCCGGGGGGGTTCCCACGGCCAGGGACGGCCAAGGAACTGCAGTTCTCTATGAAGCTCACATGGAAAGGAAAGCTAGTCCAGCGCGTTGGGTGCTTGCCTTGCACACGGCTGACTCGGGTTCAATTCCCAGTACCCCATATGGTCCCTCGAGCCTGTCAGGAATCATCCCTGATGAAGAGCCAGGAGTGAGGGGCTGGAGAGATAGCACAGAGGGTAGGGCGTTTGCTTTGCACGCGACTGACCCGGGTTCGATTCCCAGCATCCCATATGGCCCCCTGAGCGCCACCAGGAGTAACTCCTGAGTGCAGAGCTAGTGACCCAAAAAGCAAAACAAAAACAAACAAAAAAGAGCCAGGAGTGAGCCTTGAGCACCACTGGGGATGGCCCCCAAAAGCAAACAAACAAGCACATGATGCTCTGTCAGAAAGAAGGGTGGCCACAGCCAGTCTGGACCCACAGGGAAGCCACTCAGTGAACCGTCTCTGACGACATGTCCCGAGGCTGGAGATTTAACAAAACATTTAGTTTGGCTGCTTTATCAAGGGCGTCCGAAAAGCAAAACTGACATTTAAAATATTGGGGAGGGGGCAGGGTCCAACCCAGAACTTCTCACTCAGGGGTGCCCGGAGACTCCTCCCAGCCCTCCTTGGCCTGGTGCAGCCCAGACCCTGACAGTTTGCATTTTACTAAAGATCTTTTTTTTTTTTCCCCAAAGTCCCGTTGCTTTGTGCGTTGATCCAGGCAGTGGTGTGTGGTAATGGAGGGTGTGGTGCTGCCGCTGTAGTTCTGGCGAATAGGCCAGTGGTTTGGCCACTGATAAAGACGGAACTCGGAGAAGCCAGTGAGCATCTGGGCCAGTGTTTTTTGTCCATGTGGGCCCTCGGAAATGGGTCCAGGACCCCCAACGCTGTGAACCCACATGTTGAGGACTTGCCGTGCAGCCAGTTAGGCCCAGGGCCAGGAGTGTCCATGAGCTCCGAGACAGCGCTTGCTCTCTCTCCCACGCGCACACCGTCATCACTGACACTCACGTCCACACCACCCGCCTGTGTTGGTTTCAGTCCTGCTCACGCTGCCACTCTCGCCCCTCTCTTCCCCCACCCCCTGCAGCAAGGAAATTTCACCAGTTCCATCGGCTCCGACGGCTACATGCTGTCGGCCCTCACCTGCGGGATGGCTCCCGTCACGTCCATCACCGAAGGGCTCCAGCAGGTAAGCCACAGCCAGCAGACAGACGCACGGACAGACGGACAGCCAGATACGAAGGGCCTCTTGGGCTGTGTGGAGAGGGAAGTGTCCATTGCTTCTCATCCTCAGGGCTGAGAAAATAGGAGCGGGGTTGGCATTGCCACCCAACGGGTTGGGCCGGGCAGCATTCTGTGTCCCTGTGCTGCATCTGGACAGAGGGACGCGCCCTCACAGCTCTAAGGGGGTCCATCTGGGTTTGCTTCCGCGAACCACTGGCCCCAGGTCTGGAAAAACAGGATTCTGCCATCTCGGGGCGAAGTGGGCCTGGCTGACATGCCAAGGATCAGACTGGAGCAGCCCTGCCGGGTGGCTCAGAACACAAGTCGTGAAACTGGGGAGACAGAAGTCGGGGCGTGTCCTTCGGGCAAGGCGGGAGAGTTGGGCTGGGGTGCGCGCACATGCAGGTTGCTGTTTCCACCTGCTCTGTGCCCTTCAGGGACTCTAGGTGGCCCCGCAGCTCCGGGGGCCAGTGAGCTGGGACAGCTCAGTGGGGGGCTCCCTGGGAGCCGGTGCAGGGGCCGTTCATGGGCCGTTTCTAGTCTGTAGGTCATCCAAACTAAGCAGCTGCGTGGCTCCCAGCCCACCCCTCACACCACCTTCTCTCCAACTTCACTGTCTGTTGCTTTTTTTTTTTTTTTGCATTTTTTTGTTTTTTGGATCACACCCGGCAATGCACAGGGGTTACTCCTGGCTCTGCACTCAGGAATTACTCCTGGCAGTGCTCGGGGGACCTATGGGATGCTGGGAATCGAACCCGGGTTGGCCGCGTGCAAGGCAGACACCCTACCCGCTGTGCTATCGCTCCGGCCCCCGCCTGTCACTCTCTTGACCTCACTGTCACCCTCACAGCTGCTCGCACTGTCTCGGGGTGCCCTCTTGGTCCCACTTCTCTGCAGTCCCACCCTCCCGTGTGCCCATTTCAGTTGTGCCGTGGTTTGGGTTAGATCCACCTTTGAGATGACCACCGGAATGGCTGTTTCAGGGTCACGCAGCAGCTCACTGCGGCTGTTCTTCCATGATTGATGTTTTATTTCCCTGAAACCGTTCCTGACCTTAGACCGGAGAGTTAGTACAGCGGGTAGCATGCGTGTCTTGGACCCCACAGACCCAGATTCACTCCCCGGCCCCCTGTCTGATCTCCCGAGGACCGCCAGCCAGACGTCAACCCCGCGCCTTTGTGGCCTTTTATTTATTAATTTGTTTGGTGTTGAGGCCTCATGCAGCAGTGGTGGGACTGGGCGGTGCTGGGGTCAGACCTGGGCTCCCACGGCAGAGCCAGCATCCAGCCTCTGGGCCGTCTCAGGGAGAGGGAGAGGGGGACACCAGACAGTGCACGAGAAGCACAGTTCTGAGATCTTGGATGTTTGAAAGTGTTTCTCTCTGTAGCTCGGCTGTTTGAGAAGCCGGAGAAGTAGGGTGCTCTTGCCTTACGTGCGGCCGACCCAGGTTCAGTCCCCGCCATCACAGAGTCCCAGGACCCCGCCAGGAGTAAATCATGAGCACTGCTAGGTGTGACCCCAAAACCAAAACAAAAAAGAATAGAGATCCCCTCAGAGGTGTTAGCAGGAAGACACAGATATCAGACAGAGGTCTGTGGTGCTTATTCCCCAGGTGGCCACTTCCTTTCTCCGTTTGATTGTGTCCCACATTACAGAACCCTGGGGGTTGCTGGGCAGAGCCGGTCTGTCTCATCACAGCACACAGCACACCCTTGGAAAGGTCCCCTGGGATAAGCTGGGAAACCCCCAGTCCAAGATGCATTTCGAGCGCACTCAGCCAAGTGCTGCCTCCCCAGTCACCTGGAGCTCACTCGGGCATTGCATCACCAAGACCATTGCAGGATGAAGTGTTGACACTCACACGCGGCGCATGGGAGGTTGTGCTCAGAGGGAGCAACAGCCAGAGAGAGGACCATGGGGGGTCGCCCTGCGAGACCAGGAAAAGATGCAGGTTCCCAAGTCAGAATTCCAAGTGGGGCTTCAGCTGGATGTGCCTCAGTTTCCCTCCCCACCCCCCTCTCTGTAGTAGCAGCGGGCAATCTCCAGATTCAGACCATCTGGGCACTTGCTCTGACTGGGGCTCGGGACAGACTCTGAAACCGCCGGCCTGGAGTGTGCGTTGGGTTATTGGCGCTACCGAGTTGGATCTCACCCGCCCCGTGTTCTTGCTGGTAGTCCGTGGACATGTGACTTGGACAGACCCGGGGGGTGGGGTCCTGTGCCTGGTATCTGGGCCAGCGTCTTAGAGTGTTCAGTACCCCGCCGGCGCCCCCGTGCCTGACAGGCTCGCGCTTTTGCCTTGCAGGTGGTCACGATGGGCCTGTTCCGAACCATCGCCCTGTTCTACCTGGGAAGCTTCGACAGCATCGTCCGGCGGTGCATGGTGCAGAGAACGAAGTCACAGATCACGGACAAAACGGCCTAACCCTCACCCTTTGCGCAACCGAGACTTTCTCGAGAATTTGAACAGTTTGCTGCTGAGCGGGGAACGTGTTTGGCCTCCAGACCCCAATGCGTTATTTGGAACGTGTGAGGGCGGAGCTGGGCTCTGCGGAAGCCTGGCCGTCGGAGGGGCTGGAGTCGCGGCTCCAGGCCACATTAATACTATGCAAGTTTGCCCGGAGAACCTTCCAGGCTCCGGCGGAGGCGAGGTGGAAAGGACGGGGCGCGGGGACTCCTGGGCAGGGAGCGGCCTTCAGAGGGATCCTTTCATTTGTTTTTGTTTTTTTTTCTCTGTGCTCTTGGGTTTTGTTTGTTTGTTTGTTTGTTTGTTTCTCCCTTAGAGATCCAGGCCAGAAATGTATTCTATGACTCAGCAGAGATTTGTGAGGTCTTTTTAAGAGTTTTTTCACCACTCTTCCCCTCCCTCCTCCCCCTCCACCCATGAAAGGTAGTTGTGGGGTTTCTGGACCCTTCTTTCTTTTGAATTTAGTGTGTTTCCTCCCAGAGGAGTGTTCCACAGTGCCCCCTGTGCCCTTGGCTGCCGGGCCCCATCCAGGCTTCGTCGTGTCAGTTTGATCCCGTCACTCGGCAGAGGGAGGGGAGAGGGCAGGCAGGGGAGAGGGTCTTCCGGGCGGAAAGAGCACTGTTTGCTTGTCTTCTTAGGCCCGAGTGCTGTGGTCTCTCTCACTTGTCCCCGCAGAGAAAGGCAGTCATCTCCTTGAGACGTTTTCCACAGAGCAGTAGAACCTTAGATGCTCGGGGGTCACAAACAAGGCTCTTGCCTTGTTGGCCGCTGACCCAGTTCGATCCCTAGCGTGGTGTAGGGTCCCGCGTAGAACACTGGACAGGGCCTGCCAGGGACGATGCTGAACACAGAGCGGAGAGTCAACCCTGAGGTACGCCTCTGCTCCTCAGCCCCGAGTCTGACGGCCAGTTAGGCCCCCCCACGCCCCATTCCTGCGGCGGGGCCTCTCCGGGTTTTCTCTTTCACATTCCTACGACTCTTCTAGTTTTATAAGATAAAAGGCCTGTTAGACTTTGGGGTGTAGGGGGGGGACTTTTTAAACATTGATTCATGACTCGTTAAAACCGACGGGAAACTGAGAAGTGTGGCGTTCTTCTGGGCACGCGGAGGTAACTTCAGGAAGGACGGATGGTCAGTACTGGAACCCGGTTCATGCGTGGGCCAGCGGAGGGGATGCGGCTGGCTTGAACGAGTTTCATTTTGGAGGAGAGCCGGAGTCCTGTGCTTTCTGTGACCGCCCAGAACGTTCTCGCCTCACTCTCTGAGACGGGCCTTGGTACTGCTTCCAGACCCGAGGCTGGTTTCCACAGCAAGTGCCTCCAGGGAGTGTCACCTGGGGCCCGCCTCACCCTGTCACCCTGCCGTCCTCTGGCTTGTGGGGGACTTTCCCCGCCAGTGAAACCCTCTGTCCCTCCTCCCGTATACACACATACACACTCACACATTCCGGTTGACGCTGGGAGGGAAAACCCCAGCTTTTGCAAAAGATGCTTTTTAAAATTATTTCCAATACCCCCAACTCTGTGGAAGAGCACAACCTTAAAGTTGTGTAACAGACTTTTGTGCTCTTGAGTTTTTTAGCCTCTGCACTTCAAAAAGGGACTTCTTTTCTAAAAAAACTATCCAGCAGGCTTCCATCAGCCGTGATGAAGAGCTCTATCTAACCGAGGTCTGAGAGTAACATCCTTTAAACACCATCAAGACGAGGTGATCATCAGCATTTGGGTTTAGGAATGGGGGACGCCATCATGGTTTTGCAAGTCTTTTCAACTTGTGGCACCCACGGTGGCAAACCTGATGGGAGTCCTTGGGGCAGGCAGCCATTGCCGCCAATGGTTCGCTGCCTTTAAGTCAAGGAAAGGGGGTCCGTTGCTCTGTGGACGCTTCTCTCTTCTATTCTTCTCTTACCAATGCCCCTCGAAGGCACAAACCTTCCACTGTTGTTGTGTGTGGAAACTGAATCCACGGTGGCTGTCAGCCTGAGGTACCAGAGCAGGCGCGTAGCAGGACACCTGTGGGTAGCCACCAGAGCTCTAGGCCATCTGTGAGCCCCCGTGGTTCCCAATCACTTGCTTGTCAGAGGCCAAAGGGCCATAGTCTCTTACCCTCTGCGTGGAAAACTTAGGAGATTATTTTTGCTCTTTCTGAATTTGGTGCCATGTTTTTTTTTTTTGTTAGCAACTCCTGACTTGAACAAACATGAGATGAATTCAGTTTTTTGTTTGTTTGTTTGTTTGTTTTTTTAACCACTTCATGAATGGTTGGTTAATTTTACCCAAAGAGCTGACTGCCGTGGGTTTGATTCTAGGGACTGTCCCCAGCCAGAGCTGTTTTGTAATGTCCCCTAACCTTCAGAAATCTGAGTATAGATTCTAAGTACATCTGGCCTGAAGGTTTTGAAGAAGGGACTTTAGACATTGCAGCAGCTTCATATAATGATCTGATTTTATTCAAGAAATGAAAATACTACAAGGTAAATTCTGATTTTTTTTTTGATGGTGAAGATCAAATCTTAAATATCAAATAGAGGAAAAAGTAGAGCCTCAATTATTAAAGTAGAATATTGGTTGTTTTGTTGTTGTTGTTGTTAGTTTTTTTTTTTCTAAGGATTGCTTTGATTTAGCACTTTTGTACCGTACCCAGAACTGGGTGTTACCTGTAGCAGAAGTTGATTACAATTTTGTTGGAATGTTCTGTATGTGACCAGTAACTTCGCTGAGCGTACAAGCTGCAGTCCTGAAGTGCCTGCCTCTGCTGGGCTTGGTTGTATTGTTTTATTCTGATGTATTTGTGAGTATATTTATTTTAAAATGTTTACTCTCATTCAGCCATAGAAATTCCAAAATTCATTCAAGGACCCTTCATGATTAAAAAAAAAAAAGATACAGAAAATCCTTATTTCTTTTTATAAAAACTAAGGGATTATTCTTTTCTCTTTTTAATTTTTACTTTTCACAGTTTGAAAAGAGAATTTGAAATGCTATTAAGAATGGTCTTCTTACATTAAAGCTAATTACATATGCTTCATTATAATTCTTTAGCTGGATCTGTTAAACCTTCAGTTATTGACACTTGGGAGTGAAACTTTGAGAGACCGTTTCTAATATTTAGATGACAAAAGCGTTTTGTTAATAGTTGCTTCAATTCAAAGAATTGTATGTCTTTGTCTTTCTAGAAGAAGACAACACCCTAATCATTTTTTAAAACGGAATTATATCATCAGCAACTTTAATGTTATTACATCATGTTCTAATTTAAACACGTCTTACTCACTTGAGGCCCCTTTTACATATTCATTTGGACATAAGTTGCTTTGTATCTTGCTTCCTTTAGTTCTAGTAATTCAGCTTTAAAAATTACCTACTAGCCATAACTTCCATATTCTGGACTGAATCTTGAAATTGAGCTCAATACAGTGACAATAGATTTGATATTTTGATGAGGAGCAAATAACGATTCCATTTGATCAGTGTGACAGCTCTAATGAAATTTTCAACTGATAAGAGTGCTCACAGCTATTTTGATATATATTAGAATTTGTGTTTGCTACTTTAGATGCTTTTGTGGCAGGATTATAACCTAATTTTCATATATCTTGTACTTCTGAATCACTACAAAAAAATAAATGGGGAACAAGCTTTACAGATTTGAGAATTCATTTTTCTCGAAATTGGTGTCTTTAAGAAGCACTTTCGCAAAATGCCACCCCCTTCTACTTAATATTATCCTCACCTCAGTCCTAAAGAGCAATGCCTCATCGTGATCATTTTCTACAAAGCAGTATTTTCAGAGTAAGCACTTGGTAGTCTTAGCTTTTGTTTCAAACATTCTGCTCATCTTGAGGTGGGCTGTGTGAGTAGAAGGGAATTAGTAAAATTTCTTAAACTGTGTTTCAGGTACAAATAAATTTCCTTACGATGTTAAAGCACACATTAAACAAAGACAGGTCTTGTCGACTCTTAAAAAGTGTAGAAAGGTGATAGGAAAGAAAACACCTGAATTTCTCTCAGCACCTTGACCGATTTTGGTCACACTGAGAAACTGTGGATTCTTTGCTTTGCAAACTTAAAACTTTCATTCCATTTGAGCCATTTCTGTATCCATGTGGAACGTGGTTTGTGGGGATGGGGGAGGCACCCAGAGCTGCTCGGTCCTGCCGTGCTGGCGGACAGGTAGGATCACACCTGGAGGTGCTGGGCTCAAACCCAGGGACTCCCACATGCCAGGCATGTGCTTGCTCTCCCACTTGACTCACATTCCCCCTTCTTGTTTGGATGTTGCAAAAGGAAAGTCCTTTGTGGTCTTGGTTCCAGTTCTGGTTTCGTACCCTGCACTCCCCCCACCCGGCAGCCTCCGACGAGCCGGGCGTTCCCACGGCCAGGATACGGGCTTCGGAAACAGCTTCTCCACCCTGGTTTGACGCAGCTGCTCTCCTGCAGGCTCCTACAAGTCTGCTCCAAGGGAGTAGAACCGCTCCTCATTCTTTCCGTCCGCATGGGGCCACTGGGTTTCATGCAAGTATCTGAATGCCAGACACACTGATCTCCACTGAGAACACATACAGGGAAAATACCCTTCCTGTCCTCAGAGTTTAGCATCTAAAGAGAGAAGCGTAAGCTGGAAATGGCACTGTGCTCATGATGAAGGTGCCATGACTAAAGTTGTAAACGCTGAGGCTGGAGCGATATAACAGCGGGTAGGGCATTTGCCTTGCACACAGGCAAGCTGGGTTCAATCCCTGGCATCTTCATATGGTCCCTCGAACACCGACAGGAGTAGTTCCTGAATGCAGAGCCAGGACTAACCTCTGAGCATCACTGGGTGTGACCCAAAAAGAAAAAAAAAAAAGAAAACGTATTGTGTGACATCACTGTGGAGTGCTATGCATCGGGCCCATTTAAGTCCTCCTTGAGCCTTATCCGAACTATTTCTGTTCCCAGTTTAGCTGTGAGGTGGGGGCTCAGAGGTCAGGCTCTTCACCAGTCAGAGCTGCAAAGTGATGGAGCCGGGATTTGAACTGGTTTCTGACTTGGAAGCTCCCTGCCTTTGTCCTAAACCTAATCTCAAGGTACAGGGGCCACCTAAACCACCTGGCACAGCCAGGGATGGGCTCAGAATAGGAAGTTCTGGAAAAGGAACTTTAGAAAGGAGGATGAACTTGCCATAAGGTGCTTGGGTTGTGTCTCGGCCAGGAGAGCAAAGGGATGAACGCCTGTGGGCGCATTTCAGAACCCGAGGCAAGTTCAGAGAGCTGTGAGCAGGGTCAGTGGAAGGGCAGGGTGGGCTTCCCAGGCCTCAGGGGGAACTGAGCTGTTCACCGTTGAGCACTTGCAGCAGAAGGACAAACAGCCTGATGGGAGCTATAGACAAGTCCTCATTCCCCCCTGACAGTTTCAGGGACGGGGCCTTGGAGTAAATGATCCTTGTGAGTTGGAGAGATGCCATCTTTGATACACAGCATTAGGGGCTGACTTGTGTTACCCCCCAGAATACTGGAGTCCTCGCTCCCAGTCCCTGGGACTGTTAGCTTTGGACGATCGGGCCTTACAGATAGTCAGTGAAGGTAAGGTTATTCTGGGAATGTTCCCCTCACTCTGTGATTGGCATCATAAATGGAGACACCACACACACACACACCCGTGTAATAAGAAAGGCAAAGACCGGAGTAATGACGGACACAAGAATCCTCTTTCCTTGGAGTCCTGGGTGATCCTGGCCCCCGTCAAATTAAGTGCCAAATTAAGGTGTCAACCTTAATTTGGCATTCCCGGCCCAAGTTCTGGGGCCGGACAGTTCCTTTGGATGGCGCCCAGTTTGTGGTGCAGTTACAGCAGCGCTAGAAGAGAAAAACATTGACTCAGATCCTCGAAAAGCTCTTCACCTGCAGTTCACATCGGGGGGACACCAAGCTGGGGTGAAAGCTCCTCGGTGGAGTGAAGTGAGTTAGGTAGGATGCCAGTGCTTTGCTTAACACAACGCTGCTTTGGGTCTCTGGCGGCAGCTTCAATCCAACAAGAACAGTTGGTATTTGAAAATAGACGACAAGTCCCTACTCTGAGTTGATTTCATTTTAAACACCAAGTCATTCATTCGAAAGGAAAAAATTGCCAGGAATGAATTTCCTTTTGTAAACAAAAAGTCAACCTTATTTGCCTACAAATTGGCACAACAGAATGATTTATCTTCAGTTGTGTTGCTTAGCTTCAGAGGGAGCTGCATAATTATTCTAAACATTTCCTGGGGTTCAGAACCCACCGGAAGCTAATGCGGTGGGTTCCTAAAGTTAAACCCTGGCTTACGGGTTTAGACCTGGTGAAGGACACTCCTCACGAAGACACAGGGACAAGATGTGACACAGACGCTGGAACCTGCAGCAGATCTTCTCTGGAGCATGAATGCAAGACTCAGGATTGCTGCCAGTCGTGAATTCTAGCCGGGACGGTGGGTGAAGAGAATCGTATTATTCTATAACGGTCAATCATCTTTGCGGTGCAAGCGTAGGATACTGTTTACCCTGCCTTGCGTGCAGCCCACCCCCAGTGTAATCCCAGCACCATAGGGTCCCCCAAGCATCTCTGGGTGTGACCGCGGAGTGACCCAACCCCCAGTGTGACCACCTCCTTGGTCTCTTGCATTGGACTGCCAGCCTTGTTGACCAGCAATTGCTGGATTCCCAGCCCCAGACCCTCAGAGTTCCTAATGTATAAGACACAGGTCAGCGACATCTCCAGAAACCGGGAACCAAGGAAGAAGCCACTGGAAACTGGTATTTGGAATTGCGCCCCGAGGCGCGGGACATACAGCTTAGCCCTGCAGTTCCAGTTGTGTGCAGGTTATGTGGGCGCCTTGTTTTCTCGCTCTTGACTGTGTGTTTTGCTTCTGGATTTATTTCCACTCGAGTTTGCCTAGTGGCAGGGGACCACATTTTATGGCTTTCACTCTTTCATCCGACCTGTTGGTTGTTAGGGTCCGTCCCAGCTAATGATATCTTTCCATTCTTCTTTTCCTGAGAATCTGGATAGTGGGAAAATGGAATACAGACCTGTATTCAACATCCGTGGACCCGGATGAGAAGAATGTTCTTTTTTTAATTTCATGGGTGAGGGATGAGAACTTTCTCAATTATGTTGTTAAGCTCCAACCAGTAGGTGGCGAAAACTGGCAATAAAAACCTTTTTGTTTGGCAGACTGGAGAATAAAGAAGGAAAACACAGGCCTTTCACACTGGATACAATCTCCATTCCCCAGTCTTGTTCTTTTTTTTTCTTCCTGGTGCCACCCTCCTGCTAGGCTCCAGCCAGCCAGAGTTGGGAGAAAGGCCATCTTTGGTCTCAGGAGTCAAAGGGAAACACCCCCCATGATAGCTTTGGGAAACTGCGGGGGGGGGTCTCCACAGATCTAGGCTGTACCCCCACCGGACTCCTGATTAGGGGCACTAATCCCCGTGCAGTCTCGCCACACGGAGTTCCTTCACACTGTTCTGAGGGACACTTCCTTTCTGCTCCTGGGGCATGACATGCACATGGAATTTTGATATGGGAACGGCTTTACTCTTCCATTCGAAATATTCTCCAGAATATCTCCAGGGCTGGAGCGATAGCACAGCGGGTAAGGCGTTTGCCTTGCACGTGGCCGACCCGGGTTTGATTCTTCCATCCCTCTCAGAGAGCCCGGCAAGCTACTGAGAGTAGCCCGCCTGCACGGCAGAGCCTGGCAAGCTCCCTGTGGCATATTCGATATGCCAAAAACAGTAACAACAAGTCTCACAATGGAGATGTTACTACTGGTGCCCGCTCGAGCAAATCGATGAACAATGGGAGGACAGTGTTACAGTGCTGTCTCCAGGGACTGCAGAACCGTGGTCCCGGCAGATTGCAGACCTGTCTCGGAAGGTAAGTCCAGGAAGATGAGAGGTTGGTGAGGGGGTCAGAAATAAGGAAGTTTTCTTTCTCAGGGAACGGAGGATCTGGCTTCTGCCTGTCGCCTTTGCAGAAGTACAAAGCCTTTTCCAGCCCTGACCTCTCGTTTCCTCACTCGCATGCTGGGTCTCAGAAGCGCCAAGGCTTTCGATTCCTCTTAAGAAATTTGGGAGTTTAAGGCAAAGTTCTGAGAACGTCCTAAAACCATAATAGGACATTTATATGGGCTTGAGAAGAAAAAAGAAGTTTCAGATGGGACTCTACCCTGTCTCTGTCCAAGGCAGAACACCTCCCCCATTGTCCGGATAAAAGCGGACCCTGTAGCCCTCAGAAGGCCGGAAGGAGCGTCTTCCTTCCTTCCCTCCAGCCTGCATGAGAAGCATCCATTTTTAGGGGCAAAAGGTTGGCAGGTTAGCTCTCTGGGTATGATAAATGAAGAAATGAAAAGAACCCGTGTGCTTATTTTGTTTAAGAACAAACGCTTTGATTTTAGACCAGGAATGTGACTCAGTAGTGTCGGAACCCATTTGTGTACATTGCAGAAGTCATTTGTCACGTTTCTATGACCACGATAATCTATGTCCCTTATATATTTGAACTTGAGCCCTATTAAGTAAGCTGCTGTACTTTTAGTAAACATTTTTTCTTGGCACTTTATTTGTCAAAGACTCTTGGAGATAAAAATAAACACTGTTTGCCCTCTTGGGTTTTTCTTCTAGGGGGCTATTCATGCGGGTGCATGGAAACCTAAGTGTGCAGTATGAGTAGACATGTAGACAGATATGTGCTTAGGCGCACAGTATGTGTATCTCTCAGATTCTGAACTCCAGACAGCAGATTGGCTGGGACCCCATCCACTCAGGTTCCTAGAGTGACCTTGTCCAGCCTGAACGCCGCCGCAGGGCAATCCTATCTCCAGGTGCCTTTGGAGACCAGCACTTGCCCCTGGGCTGGCCTGGGGCATGGATGGCCGCTCCAACCCGGGATCCTGGGAAGCAACTTGAACTTCAACTGAAGGCTCTGGGCATCCCTCGCTACTGAGTGCGAAGTTACTTCTCCCCCCGCAAGGGGAGTTCCACTGTTTGGGGTCAGCGTGGGTGTGGGCCGAGTCCCAGGCCGCCTGGCGCTGAGTATGAGTGTGTGTGTGCGCGCGCGCGCATGTATGTGTGCGCGCATGTGTGTGTGTGTGCGTGCATGTGTGTGCTCGCGCGCCTTTACTCTCCCCCCCAATCGTCGGTGCCCCGTGCGTGCGCGCGGGCGTTGCACACTCACACTTGCTCGGAGGGCTCGTCGGGGGCCGGGGCCGTGTGTGTGTGTGTGTGTGTGCACGCGCGCGCGCCCGCGCGCGCGCACTCCGGCTCGGGAAGGATCCCGGCGATCGTGGCGCCTTCCCAGCCCTTGTTTTCTAAGCCCCGCTCCCCCCGGCAGCCGCCGGCCGGCCGGGCCGCGTGCGGGTGTCGGGACCCCCCACCCCCGCCCGCCCGCCCCCCACGGGCCTCCCCCCCAGCCCCCCAACGCCCGCCCCGCCCGCGATCGCGCGCGCCGGGGCCGGCCCCGGGCCGGAGGAGGCCCCGCGCACACCCACCGCGCCGCGGCCGCGCGGGAGGCCTGTGCCGGCCGCGCCACCCAGCGCTCGGGCCTGGCGGGCGGGCGGGGGCCCGTCCCGGGCGCGCCATGTGTCGCGGCGCCTTTAACCGGGGCCCGGCGGCGGCGCGCAGGGGGGCGGCGGGGCGGCTCCGGGGAGGGCCCTTTTCTTTCTTCTTTTTTTGAATGAACCGTGTGACGTCGGGACAGGAAACCGGGCGCGGAGCGCGGAGCATGAAGTAAGAGGCCCGGGAGGGCCCCCCGCCCCGCGCCCGCCCCCTTCCTCCCCGCCCCCGCCGCCCGCCCGCCGAGGTGCCGGCCCGGGGCCTCCCCGCCGGCGCGGCCGCCGTGGGCCCGGAGCGGGCAGCGCGCGCGGCGGGAGCGCGGGGGGAGGCGGCGGCGGCGGCGGCGGCCCGGAGGAGGAGGAGGAGGAGAAAGGGTGCGCGGCCCGGAGGCGGGGTGCGCCGGTGGGGTGCAGCGGAAGAGGGGGTCCAGGGGGGGAGAAGTTCGGAGCCGTCATCCTTTTTAGGAAAAAGAGGGGAAAAATAAAGCCCTCCCCCGCCCGCGCCCGCTCCGCCACACACGGCGCGGGCTGCTCGCGCTCGGCCCGCGGGTGCCGGGCGCGTCCTGCCTCGCTCGCGCTTCCCCGTCCGCCGGCGCCGTTCCTCCTCCTCCTCCTCCTCCTCTTCGTCCTCCTCCTCCCTCTCCTCCTCCTCCTCCCTCTCCTCCTCCTCCTCTTCCCTCTCCTCCTCCTCCTCCTGCTTCTTTCGGAAAAAGGCGGCTCTGCCCGCCGGGCGGAGTTGGGATCCGGAGAGGACTCGCGCCCCGGTGCCCGGCTCGCCCCCGGCCCGGCGTCCCCGCGCGGCTCCCGGGTGCGGAGCCCCATGCCCGTGCCTGCGCGCGCGTTCGTGCGCGTGGAAACCGCCGAGGGGGCGCGCGGAGCCCCGGACTTCGGCCAAGCCCGGACTGCACGTTGCGATTCATCTGCCGCCGCCGCCGCCGCCGCTGCTGCCTGGGGCTGCTTCCCTTTTTCCCCTCTCGCTCGTGCTCCCCGGAGCTCCGCTCGGGATTCCTACGGATTGACATTTCACTGAAGGAGACTCCTCGGCCGGCAATCAACTTGGAAATTCTCCTGATTTTACTCCTTACTCGCAACACGCCCACGCGCGCGCGCTCACACACACACGCGCCCGCGCGCGCGCACACACATACATACACACGCGCGCGCACACACACGCACACACACCTTCCACCTTCTGATTGATTCGGAAGTTTTCAAAGCCGCGGTCCGGGGAGAGTTCGGAAGACTGATGGCATTCTTGCCTCGTGCATTTGTTGGGTTTGTTACAAATTAACGCAACGTGACCGAGGCTCAGGCTGTCCCTAAAAAAATTACAAGTAAGTTCTTTGCACAGGAAATCGGTTGACTGTAACTTTCAATGGAAACAGTTGCGATTTGGAAAAAAAAAAAAACCCAACCAAGAAACCTCTTAAGTGCCTGGGAGTAAGTTTCATTGAGAGGCAGTTTAATCCATTCCTCTTTTATTCTTTTTTTTCCCCAGCCTCCGTAACTTGGGTGTGTGCGTGTGCGTGAGTCCGTCCTGTCCCCGCGTGTGTGAAAGGAAAATGCACCTGATTTTTGACTTACGAGTGTTTTTCTTTCTCTTCTTTGAACCTTTCAGCATCACGGAGGAAGTAGATGGATGGTAACAAAAACTCGTAATAATGTGCCTCGTGAACTCCAGCTCCAAAAGGGATTGAGTTTTGTTTTTTTTTTTTTTAAAAAAAAGAAACAACAACGGGGGATTGGAAATCGCCTGCGTCGCCACGCCGAGCGGGGAACACCAGCATCGAGGGTTCCGCGTGACCGAAGACACCCCCTCATCCAAGAATGCAAAGCACATCCAATAAAAGCGCTGGATTATAGCTGCCCTCCCGGGCTGGCGGGGCCGCGGGGCGGCAGCGGGGGCGAGCGGGGCCTGTCGGCGCGGGCGGCTGCGGGCCCGGGGCGGCTGAGGATGGCGCAGGCGGGGGGCAGGACGGGCTACGACCACCGCGAGATCGTGCTCAAGTACATCCACTACAAGCTGGCGCAGCGCGGCTACGAGTGGGAGGCGGGCGACGCGGGCGCCGGCCCCGCGCCGGGCATCTTCTCATGGGCGCCCGCGCGCAGCGCCGCGCCGGCCCGGACCTCGCCGCCTTCCGCGCCGCCCACGCCGCCGCCCACGCCGGGCGCCGCGGCCGCGCGCAGCCCGGTGCCCCCCGTGGTCCACCTGACCCTGCGCCAGGCCGGCGACGACTTCTCCCGGCGCTACCGCCGCGACTTCGCCGAGATGTCCAGCCAGCTGCACCTGACGCCCCTGAGCGCCAGGGGGCGCTTCGCCACGGTGGTCGAGGAGCTCTTCAGGGACGGGGTGAACTGGGGCAGGATCGTGGCCTTCTTCGAGTTCGGTGGGGTCATGTGCGTGGAGAGCGTCAACCGGGAGATGTCGCCCCTGGTGGACAACATCGCCCTCTGGATGACCGAGTACCTGAACCGGCACCTGCACACCTGGATCCAGGATAACGGCGGCTGGGTAGGTGGGCCCCTGGCGCGCGCGCGGGCTGGGGGTGGTGGCGCGGGGGCGCGCGCGCGCGGCCGCGGCCTGGGAAGGGGCCTCGGGTGGTGGTTGGGGCGGGTGCCTCCACCTGCCACCTGTCTTACCTGGGATCCGCCGCCGCCATCTGTCTACCTCTCCTGAGCCGGTGTTGGCCCCTACTGAGGACCCGAAGGTCCCTCCTGGAGACCCTCGGGATAAATTGTGGGTTAGGTTTATTTTGGGGGAGGCGAGAGGGGTCCCCTGCATCCCCAGCATCACCTTTACCTGATTGAGCAACTGAGGATTGCAGACACTGCCTCTGAACTTACTTTTTAAGAAGCCGTTTAAATTATAAAGCCAGGATTTATAATACCGTGAATGGTACTTTGCGTGCACGCATTGTTCCAACACGCCCCCATCACCTGAGATGATGCCCCCCAGATGGGCCGCCTGGATCCTCAACCAGCCCCTCCTCCTAAAATGGGTCCCCACTGCCTGGCTTCCAGGCCCAAAGGTTGGCCCTTCCCTGAGCACCTAGTAAAATTCTGCCCGAAGCGGACAATCCGGGGAGCCCCTTCTCCTGGGAAGCCTAGCGGTGTTCGTGAAGAGGTAGGTCGCCTCCCAGAAGCCCCGGGGCTGTAAATGTCCCACCTGCACCGCGGTCCTGGTTGCCTTCGAGGATCCCCGTCTCCGCAATGACCGCCTTTGCACTGGCCGCCCACGTTGTGTTCTCTGTCCCCCGAGGATGCTTTTCCAGTTGGCTGCGATTTCCATCTCGCGACTTTCACTGCCCCGCGTGCCCACCCCCTGTGGTCTCCTGCCCTGGAGACTCGGGCACATGGAGGCCAGAGTGCGAGAAACCCAGACTCAGGCCCCCGCGGGTGGTTGCTGTCCCTGCCTTGGGTGGGAGGCGCCGGCCTGTCCCTTGAAAGGGCACCTGTGCAGGGCTTGGGTGTGTGCTGGGGACTGGACAGGTCCGCTGGGGGTGTGATAACCGCGGGGGAGAGTTCAGGTGCTGAGATTGGAGAATGGCGCTAGAGGTCCTCGCCTGGTGTCAGAAGCGACTGGTTTATAACAAACATGGAGGAGGCATACATGATTCTTGTGGGAGAACTTTCTGGAGTCGCTTTGAATCCTGGAAGAAGGCTGCCACAGGGGCCTCCCTGTCAAATCTCTAGGGCATCACTGGTAACGTTCTTCATACCTATCGGGGACCGGCAGATCCTAAAAGGACCACATGTGGGTTAGTTTTCAAGGAGCAGGTTGTATTCCTGAGGGCTCTTCCGAGTCTTCTGGTATTCAAGGACCCCGGAAGAGAGAAGGGGAGAAGCAGATAGGGACATCATCTGATGCCAGGGGATCCAAGCTGACAAAATATTGATGCCGCTGTTTCATGTTGAAAAGTACAGCTTTCTAAAATACCCACATTTCAGTTGCTAAAATGAAGACGCTGTTTGTGAATTGTTGGTTTCTTGAGCGCCCACATGATCAGGTCTTTAGTAATTCTGGAAGAATTCACTAAAAGCTGAAAAGAATATTTTCGTTCAATGTTTGGCCAAGTAGGTGGTTTTAATTTTAACCACCATAACCAAAGAGGTAGGGACTTCCAAACTCCAAAAGGATCATTTTAAAACCAAAGTAAAACTGATTTAAATGTTCCCATTTTATATTTCTATGAACAAAAAAATTCTTTTCAGCGTCTCCTTAGTTGAAAGAAATCCAAGGAGGTAACTGTCATTTACTGGGTAATTTAATAAAAAGATGGGAGCAGAGACATATGTTTATGATGGAAATTAAGATGTAACCTTGATCTTGTTGTTGAGTTGCACTGCAATCCCGTCCACACAATTGAGGTTTCTTTTGAGGCGAAGCCTCGCCTTTTCTTCTTTCAAAGTAGAGTTTTTATAGTAGGTTCGTTTTTGTGGTCTCCAGGTATTTGAGGCTGATAAATGTCAAGGCTACATTTCATGATGCCAGACCACACAAACACTGTGTAGAACGTGATAACATTTTGGGGACAAAAACCTCTTAGAGTACAAATAAATCATATAGAAGCAGAAGTGACTGACGGTAAAATCTGTAGGAGGAGTTTCCAGACCAGCATCAAGATGGATTACTCTATCAGAAGATGGAGAAATTGAGCGAAAGATAAGTCTCTATCAGGAAATGTGGTCTTGTCGTTGGACGTGTTGACATAGCAGTGGTGGTATGTGACAGTTACAAATGATTGGCCCATAGCTTTGTTTGTTTGTTGATTTTATTTTTGTGGCTGTGCTCAGGGCTTCCTCCAGGCTCTGCACTCAGGGCTCACTCTTGGCGGTACTCAGGGAGCTACAATGGGCGCTGGAGATTGAACCCGGGTCAGCTGCACTCATGGCAATCATTTCATCCTCTGTACTATTATTCTAGCCCCCTACCCATCTCTTTAAATGTTCGTTGTTATTCTACCTATTTATTTTAGGCCCTTGGCATACAGATTTGCACCAGTCACGTCTGCAACTCTGACACTGTCATTTCTAAGTGTTGTGTGTGACAAAAGTGCCACTAGGAACCGTCGTCAAACTTCAGAAGGAGATCGGCACACTCTTTGGCCGTTCCATTATGACTTGTACCATTTCCAGGGCCAAGGAGACCAGCTAATATGTAATACGTGATAGATACTAATAGTGGTGGGGGCTCAGACTTGAAGTCTTCTTTTCTTTTTTTTTTTTTATAAAAAATTTTGTTGCTGTTGCTGCAAAATCAGAACCTTCGGGGATTGAAGACAGCTGCAGGCGTCCCAGGTCCCCTAATGCAGAGACAGCTGGGTTTGGTTTGATAAAGAGGCTTCTCTGAGCCTCCAGTCGAGTCAAGACTGATGAAGAAATTGGGTGCGGAGTGGAGAGTGGCTTTATCTGAAGTCTGAGTCAGGCATCGTGTGGCATCCAGAGAGTTGCAGAGGGGAGAGAGAGAGAGAGAGAGAGAGAGAGAGAGAGAGAGAGAGAGAGAAAGAGAGAGAGAGAGAGAGAGAGAGAGCAGTGATTCTAGAACTATCTCAGACCCCGCCACTTGGAGTATGTCCAGCCCCTGGGGGCTCCGGAGGTGCCACCCCAGAGCTCCTCAGTTAGGACCCCTACGGGTTCGGGTTCAGGTTCGTTCATTCCAGATGCCAAACCTGTTCAGTTTCCCTGACACCCAGGGATGCCGTGCAGGAAGACCGCCAGTCTCGGAGCATCACACACTGTCCCTTCCCAAGGAAGCCACAGGTGTGTAAAATCCTGGTTACTTTCCCAGGTGTCCTCAGTCGTGTCATCTGCCCCCTGGGGAAGGTAGATGGGAGAGAGGGACCGGACCAGGAGGGCAAGCGAGGTGTGGAGGGGGAGGGAGGAGAGGAGAGGAGAGAGGAGAGATTGGAGGCAGGGGAAGGGGGAGGAGGAGAGAGAGCAGAGGGAGAGAAGGAGGGAGGAGAGAGGAGTGGAAGAGAGAAGATGGGGGTGGAGAGTGAGGAGAGAGAAGCTGCCCAGTTTGTATTGCTACGGCTGGCCCCGTTCCGCTCAGATCTTTTCTCCTCCAGTTAAAGGTGGGAGAGGCAGCGTTGAGCAGCTCTGTTACTATTTCATCCACTTAACACAGTTTCATTTCTGTTGAGGAGTTTCGAGTCCCGAGACTACTTCAAGAGAAGAGAGAGGGTTGGGGCAGGTGTGTGGCTGGCCTGTGGGCCAGTCGAGTGGGTCTGGACGGCCCCCTGCAGATTTCGGGCGTAGTGAGTTGGGGACACCAGAACGGATTAAGGAAGTGGGTTAAATAGGACATAGGCTTCCCTTGGTCGAGGACATGGTGGTCTGACACATGCGTGTGCATGCATGTGTGTCTGTGTGTTTGTGTGGGTGCGCGCATGTGTGTGTGTCCTTTGGTCTTTGAGGTTTAGGGAGCAGGAAGTTAGTCCTCTCCATCTAGCAGAGGTTCCCTTCCTTTTTTGTTCATTGTTCAGCAAGTAGCTTCTCTCTCTTTTTTTTTAAATTTTTATTTATTTATTTATTGCTTTTTGCGTCCCACCCCGCGATGCACAGGGGTTACTCCTGGCTCTGCACTCAGGAACTGGTCCTGACGGTGCTGGGGGGACCATATGGGATGCTGGGGATCGAACCCCCGTCAGCTGCATGCAAGGCAAACACCCTACCCACTGTACTGTCGCTCCAGCCCCAGTAGCTTCTCTTTTCTCTACGTCGTCCGAACTCCGCAAACCGATTAGCAGGAAGGCCAGGCCACTTGCCGCTGGGATGCCGACCCCAAGAGACCTCAATCTAGAGGCCGAGGATCGGTTACTTACGGCCAGTTTTGGCAGCCAACGCATAGGATTAAAAATAGCCTGAAAAGGAGCTCGTCTTAAATAATATATTTAACGATGAACTTTCCTTGGGAAAGTGCATCTCTCCTGCTGCTGAGAGTCACGCGCGGCCCCATGCAATAACATAGTTGCCAGGGACCAAGAGGCTGGCGTCGCCCTGAGCGCGGCCGTCACGCCCCGTCGCTCGGCGCTGTTCCTGCAGCTGGCCAAACCGTAACCCTCGGCTCCGTTCTCGTTTCTGTTGTCGGGGCCTCTGTGCTCTCGGCTGTCTATTGGAAACGGGGTTCGCCTGTACACATCCTGTTCCTCCGAGGCGTGCTTTCGAGGGGGAACTGATTGGTCTTTTGAGCAATCTCTGATTCGAGCCGGCACGTGCCTGCCTGTTTGTCTAAATGCCACGAGGGCGCCGGGGATGGAAAGTCCCGAGTGGCTTTCCTGAGCCCAAGTCGGATCCTTTGCTCTACTCCCGGGCCTCATCCACCGGAGGAACGAGGCACCCTCCTGGAAGGCAGGCCTGGGGGTGTATCGGTAAAAGTCTCCCACCCTGTCTCCCATCTTCCTGACCTTCCCCATCGCGGATCTCATCTTCAGTGGCGGTGGTTCCGTAGAGGTGCATTTGTGCTGGGAAAACAACTCAGTCTTTGTAGAGAAAGAGCCGAGAGCACCGCCC